AAAAGGAATGAATAATGCATCAACTAGAACAACACTTTTGTCCCATTGCTGACATTATTGGACGTAGGTAGTCCCACACAATTACCTCCGTTTGCGATTCCCTACTAAGTGAGTGTACAATTATTCCTTTCCATTAAGCACTAGTCTGCAGGTGACGCGACTTTGTTCTTATCCTCTGAATGACCCTCCGTTGTCGAAACGGTATCATCCATAGTTAACCATCATCCCCAACAATTTCCTAATAACCACCACAGTTAGTCTAGAATGGCAACATTCACCTGAAGCGTAGAGTGCCCTGCCATCACCAAAAGTTAGTGACTGTCGACCAGTGTTTCAGAGAAGGGATTCGATATGTCGACTGATCACGAGTTACTGAATGATGCTATCAGGATCGATTGTAACAGCGGCTGAGTCTACCGACTAGCCTTCATTAATAATTAGAATCTTGTGCAATAATACTACCACCTTGTATTCTCGATCTGTACACACTTTAACTCACTAGATGGCATATTCTTATAACAACTGTAAGGATGAGGTGTTGACACTAGGGACCAATTCACGACAAAGACTGTTCAGAACCTTTGTTACCCAGCTACCCTCCTTTCCTTTCTAAATTCATACTCCGAATGCACACAGTTTTTAATCTATGTTTCTGTAGAATTTCGCATTCCCCTCTGACTTTCTAACCTTAATCAACAGTGAATAATAATAATAATTTTATCCCAAACGATAATAATTATACAGAATGGAATTTTCAGCGTTCTTATACACATTGCAACAATTTATAAATATGTACATATGTAAAATAGCAATAATAATATTAATAATGAAACCCAATATAAACGGAATGTTGGCGGAAACATAATGAAGTATAAGTAGATAGTGTCATAGATAATACATGTAGTGATAATAATAATCTTTGCTGATACCTTGCAGTTCAGTTACTCTTTACGCAAGACCACTGCTAAATATGGTGGGATGGTAGAATGTTTGTATTTAGTAGCTGTACGAGCATAAATGCTTCTTATGAAGTTTATTCTGGTTTAACCTGAATATATATACAAGGAGACAGTTGAGAATAAATAGGATGTTCAGTGTCAGACAAGATAACTTTAACCAACTGATTGCAAGAATTGAAGTGCCTATTGACAATAATGTCAGTTAGCTGAGTCAAAGGCACACCACTAACTGTACTTACAATCTTCAGCGTTCTACGTAATATGACATAGTCATTTTTGAGAAGTCCAGGGAAGAATAATGGAGAACAGTAAAGGGGAATAGGCAGATTATATGAATTAACAAATTGTAAGAGAAGAGGTTGAGTTATGCTAGCAGAAAGTCTCAACTTCTTTATGTAATAAGTCAAACGAAAATTTTTTTGCTTAGAAATCAACAGGATATGGGAAGACTAACAGAAATTCGAAGAGAAACTGATGCCAAGATGAGAGATATTCATTCGATTTACTCCCTCTCACACAGTGCCATCAATATTACAAAAATCATGCAGTGAATCAGTCCACACAAGTCTTGTTCACATCTGAAACTAAAATCAATAATATGACATTTAGATGGATTCAGTGTGATTCAGACCATTTAGGTGAGACTAATTGTTAAATTCAGACAAAAATCTATTCATCATATAAGAACAATCCAAAGCAGAAACTACTGTGAAGAAAATGGTTAGATAGAACATCAGCATATTTAATGAAATTAGCTTTGGAAGAATATGGAAGGTCATGAACAAAAAAAGAAAGAAAAAAGGAATGGAGAGAGTACAGCCCATCTTTGAGGTGCACCAATTTCCGTTAGCAAATAAGTCGAGCATCACTCATTCAAAACAGTATGTTGTTTCCTACCGGAAAAAGAAAAAGGCTATTTTACTTTGATCATTTTCTTAGTACCTGCCAATACTGCCGTCTCCAGTGTTTTTTCTAACTTATTTTTTTTTTATTTACAGCTTGATTCCACACTGTATTTTTGGTACAAGTATGGAATTTTCAGAATGGATATCGGTAGTCCAAATTTTGCAGGCCGACCATAGATATCAGGTGTGCGCCGGTGTGGGCTCGAACCCCGGACCATGTGCATGGTCAGCGAGAGTCCTAACCACTGTGCCACCGACGCAGTTGTGATGAGATTTACACCTTGAAATGATTTGAATGCCAAAAACAACCCCCCCCCCCCCAAAATCGTATTTGCGGTGCTAAGGGCTGTCAAAATATCTTCGTTGAAAAAATATGGAAGGTGTTAATCAATATCACTTGTTAGAGTTTAACCAAAAACATCTAAGCGCAAAACCTGTGTAGCATTTCAATCATAATAATCACACGTGTACATAGGCACGATTTACACCCACAACTGAAGCATTGCATATTTTGTTGCACAGCATAATTTAACAAGATATTTAAAAGTATTGCTATTGTAGGGATTTTTTTGATTGTATGGGAAATTTCATCATGACCTGACATCAGTTAGAGAACCACTGGAAAACCTGGGAGTACTGAACAGCACCCCGGTGGGTGCGAACTGCTGAGGAGTTCCAAACTAGGACGAAACAGTTGTCCAGTACTCCCAGGTTTTCCAGTGGTCCCTTAACTGATGTCAGCTGATGATGAAATCCTTCATACAATTTAACAAGATATATTTTAGAAAATATGAGGCGATTTATTATGTACTCGTCGCTAAATTATTGATATGTACTGGTCGAGAATTTAATAGTCCTAACGCAAGAAAGACGGAAATCAGAAGACCACTAGGTTTGCGATGGTACTTCTATTTTCCAAAACACCAGGAGAATGAATGTCACACCAGAGTGTGAGAGCAAAAATATGAATGTCCGAACAAGTGTGTGAACACAAGTGTGTGAGCGAATATTCAAAATGAACAAATCAATAGACAGTCTTAACATGATTGGCAAATTATAATGGAATATCGATCCATATATACATAGCAAATATGCAGACTGTCAAACAAACACACATATTATATGGATATATATCACCAAGGTCAGACTGTCAAACAAAACACACATATTATATGGATATATATAAGGATTCAAGTTCTAAAAAATATGCTAGACACATAACACTAACTGAGATACGGTAGAACAACGCGCCAAGTCTCAGCCCATCGTCTATCATCATTTTCTATTATTACAAAAAACACAACTTGCTGCTACATTATGGACAACAAGAGATGCACCATACAAAACTGTCTCATAGTTTGTGCGAGGGCTGGGATACCATCCAGACAAATAGGCTCGGATCAAGTGGTTGTTTTAAGAGGCCACCATCTAAGCCTCTAACTTGAAGTCTGATCTTCAAGGCAGTCAGTGAGCGTACCTATGGTCGCCAGTGACAAATCCTTTTGGATTCTGGAGACCATGTACATTATAGGTTTTGGATTTGGGTTTTTCAGGTCCCCTAGGTAGATCAGCATGTCCATCAGTTCGGTTGGAAGCAATAGACATCTGCATTCGCCTTTTCACTTCTGTGAGCAACACCACCGCCACGTGAATGAAGTGAATAGGACTTAGCTGAATGTAGCATGGATGTGAATGAATAATTTCTCATCACAATGCTTTCCATCTCTTATTCCCCCCAGTCAAATTTGTCACTCACTACTTCACATTAACTGTAAGCAAAACTGATGTCGACTTTTAGCGGTGTATACTTTATTTTAGCGGACAAAGCAGCACCCAATTTGTCATTGGTTGAGTCAATTCAAATCAGCTGAATGATTTTCGCATGTCATTGCCTTAAGTAAGACTTTATACATATTGCAATTTATAGTGGCAAATGAGAAGACAACTCTTCAAGTATTTTATTCATGAACCTACATTATGCTTCAGGATGTCAGAAAAAAGCGTCTCGAAAGTGATAACTTCGACTACCAGTATGAAGTAGTCCTAGATATTAATATTGGTAATGTTAATAGCTAGAAGCCCCTGAAAACGTTTCAGTTGGGCATTATAATAAAATGTAATGAGGGTGGGGGAAATCACAGCCAAGTGCAACAGCAGAAACTCATTGTAAGTAGAAATATCGAGGATAATCTCTTTAAAAACATTACTACAACTATACGACTCTGATTCTCAACATCATGACCATTTACATACAGTCAAACAGAGATGGGATATACATATATACCTTGCTAATCAAATGAAGTTAGATCTAGGGAGTATGAAATAGTGAATCAAACGCAAAGGTATAAAATTGCTTCATTACAGAATTTGATTATAATAATTATTATTCCCTAGAGAGGTTTTTTTCCTTCACGTTCCCCCCCAGTGGAACATAGGGCTTCAAGCTAGTGGCTCGAAGTTCCTAAAGCAGTGTTTATTTTTTACAGGATGGGGTTGCTAGCCTCATGCCCAACCTTTCCTCTTTACCAGCATTATTTCTGGCTCAGCGAGGCAAAGGAGCGCTTCGGCAAGGGATTGAACCCCGGACCATGTGCATGGTCGGCGAGCGTCCTAACCACTATGCCACCGAAGCACACAATGCTCATCCACCCAGGATCGAGATAGTTTACAAGGATACAATTCGTTTCAATTTTGAGTACAGATAAGTATCACTTAGACAACCATTAAAAACCGCATATGAGAAATGGACAACTGCTTCATACCCCTTTAAAACTCTCCATCGATGCGAACCCACAACTCTACCACGGATCGAATTCGGGAGCTTCAGGTTAAAAGGCCAGCTCACCGACGACTATTCAGCGAATTGGGTCCAAATTCAATAACCTTTGAATTCTAACTACTGTCATTTGGTGATTTTAGCGGCAAGTATTTGTGCTCACACCCAACCTTACTCGTTAATCATGACTTCTCGCTAGAAACGCAGGTGAAAACATCCTTTTACTAGTCCACTACTAGTGAGCATTACACATTAGTGAATATAAAAACAACTCAACTATAGCAAAAATACTTCAATACTTCAATTGTAATTCATAAACAAAGACAAATCCACAATATATATATATATATATATATATATATATATATATATATATATATATATTACACACGACACGATAATGACCATCCAAGTAAAGACTAAGAAGGAGGACGAGGATGATGATGCGATACATGGATGTAACAATGGATGCAGTCTACTAAAGGACAGTAATAAACAAAAAAACTGTGCTCATAACAACAGAAGAAAAAAACAAATTGAATAGTGGACTTTTCTTTTTACAATAATAATAAAAAGAATATAATAATAAGGAGAAGAATGATAAAAAAAACTGAAATCCTTTGCTTTCTCTCCCCCTTTTCTTTTCTTTCACTTTCAAAATCCTGAATGTGTACAAAAAAAACAAAATACAGCAGGAAAAATGCACAATACTCGAATGAACCATACACGGCGGGGTGGGACTGGGCTGGCCGGGTGTTCTTTAGAATTCATCCGCGAAATTTTTCATTGAACTAGCCTTGAATTTATCATCAACAGCATAGATATCCATTACACGTAATTGGATTTGTTCAACTATTTCACGAGACAGACTATCTGAAATTGCCTGAATAAAGTAGAAAAAAAGATAATAAAAATAAACTCAGAAGTGTTGAGAAAACAAAAACGCACACACAAAACGCTACAAGTTATTTTTATTATTACTTCAGGTTCAATGTAGATTTTAGAAAGCGATAACTCAAAAATTTATGTTTGTGGACGAGTAGACGAAGAACACGTCTACATAGACCGACATCATATTTTTTTGTAATTGTTGTAGTTTGTCCTGTAGATGATTTTAAGAAGACTAATCCAGTTCGGCTGCCTACATATCCAATGATTTTCCCGACTGCGATAGACTGGATAATGAGACAGGCGGAGGACAACGAGGAAATAGGTATAAATGGATCCACACAAAAAACTTGAAAGATTTGAATTTCGCCGATGATATATGTGTGATTATCCACAGAGTGGAAGATATGCAAGTGAAAAGCAACAAGTTGGTAGAAGAAGCATCAAAGATAGGACTTCATTTCAGGTGAACATGGAGAAAACAGAGGTGATGGAGATTCCTGACCAACAACAACAGCAACAACAGACAACAATCAGCCAGTATAAATGGGAGAAATCTGAAAGAAACAACCTCCTTACCTACCTACCTAGGAAGCATCGTTTCAACTACAGGCGGAACTGACGAGGATATCAAAGAGAGAATTGGGGAAGCAAGAGAAGCTTTCATGACTTTCAAGTCTGTGTGGAGGTCAACAGCACTTATCATCAAAAATAAGATCCGGATTTTCAACTCCAATGTGAAGTCAGTGCTACTATACGGATCACACACTTGGCACGTCACGAAAGGCACTTCGAACAAACTACAGACCTCCCATCAACAGCTGTCCTTGCTCAATACTCAAGATTAGATGGCCAGAAAAAATCAGCGACAAGGATCTCTGGGAGCAAACCAACCAAGCAGGAACCAATTGTGCATCAAATACGCAAGGAGAAATGGAGGTGAATTGGACATACTCCGAGAAAACAAACCATCAAGGGACATCACACGGCAGGCTCTTTAGTAGAAGCTGAATGGGAAGTGGCGAGTTGGTCGTCAGTGAGAGGGTGACATGGAGGTGGTCATGTGAAGAGGAGATGAAAGCATTTGGGCAGATGTGGAACCAGGTGAAAACGTTGGCAGAGAACCGAACGCAATGGAGACGTTCGGCTGAACCCCTATGTTCCTCTAGGAATTAGGGGAAATAATAATAATAATAATGCAGTTCGGCTAGCAGACGGAGAACATAAGTGTGTCTATAATTCGGTAACAGAATGTCTAGTGAACTCAGGACACTCAGCAGCATTTGAAAAATCCTTCAAGGTCCTATACAAAAGTCAATGAAACCTCTCGGAGGGACTGAGATTAAGACATCTACGCATAGCTGAGAAGCATTAACAATCCAAGTATTCAAGTCAACAGTATGCATTCGAAAGAAGTACACATCGCAACCTTTGTCTTTACCATAGCCATTACAAACAGTCAAGCTTCTTATTCGAAATTCGTGTTAATTTTTGCGTTATCATTACGTTTATAATCCCTATTTGGAATCTTATTATTCATCAAAATTTGACCCTTGACCCTCACCCCTTTACTATATGTACGCAAATGTATAACCTAATTGACGACTTCGTCGAGAATGTATTTCTCCTCCCTGTAACTGTTTTTTTGAATTATTTTTTATAGTTTTGGTTTTGTCTTCTTCCGTTGCTGCATTTTCTATTGCTTAAAATAGTATAGACAGAAGCGAAATCACATGGTCTGCAGGCAACATCTATTCCAAAGGGTCTCGAATAGTCTTGCAGTTATTTCAAAGTATCACCCTTCACGCTAAAGTCTGTACTGAAAATGTTGTCTAGGGAGGATATCAAAAACTCCGCAAAAATAAGCCCTTTAACTCGGAAAATGTAACGTCACTAGCAATAGCTAATTTACCAAAATGCCTATTGTATAACATGTAGGCAATATTCATTTATGTGAAATGGAGCTACTATTTAAAGCATATAAAAAAGTTTGCATAAGAAATGATGAATTACCTGCCACCAAGCCATTTCAGAGTGTCGATTACCAGGAATCTCGACACCAGCTATCCGTAAAGCTAGGTGTAATACAGCTGCCGCAATATGCTCAGGTGCAAAATCTAAACACATTGACGATTGATATGTATCAGCTAAAATAGACCACGCCAAACCAGGAAGTCGTGCCAATGCAATAGCCGATGCATTTACAGAATTCCCAGGTGCACTGAGATCACTTCCACACGGTTGTGCTATACCTTTGCCAACCCAATGAAGTAGTGAGTGTAGATAATGCACTAAATACGGATGTGGTAAAGAAGGCCGGCGTACATGATAAGCTAATAGACGCATTAAAAATAATTCTGTTTGTACAAGACTTTCACGCAGACGATCATAATCTTCGCCAACTTCAAGAGGAGATCGTCGATTTTTATGAAGAGTCCTGAAATAAATAAAAAATTAAGATAAAAAGATGATTTAAATAAGCGTGATGTATAATGGTACAGAAAGATTCGAAAAGTTCACCATAGTATTCTAACAACAGAAGACATGGGCCAGACAACAGATCCTTTATTAAGGAAATCAACACATTTTTATAGATTTTCATGTACATATTATACAATATTGTAAGCAGAAAAACACAGTCCTCTGATTGGTTGTTTCTCACTGAAAGTTAACGTTGCATCTCTTTGTGGCTGACTGTTTCTTGAATGTCAGATCATCCATATGTTAACTTTATCCGCCTACGCAAAGCCTTTGTTCTCATTTTTCTCACGACCAATAATTGAGGACATAAAAATTGACGTAAATTACTGTCCACCAATTTTGACTAACAGCCAGCTCTCACCACAGGAGTTTTAAAAAGTATCAACACAGACTAACCTGTAATAAGAGACAATTACATCCCGAAGACGTTGATGTTCTTCCTGTACTTTACCACCAAGACTGAGAGATGCCATAGCTATTGTCTAAAAGAAGTTGAAGATGAAAAATGAGTGAGTATAGTACATTCCGAGTGGAGAACGAATGGGAAAACATCATAGTAACAGTATAAACGCTTATTTGCAGTTAAATTATCCCACAGCAACAAGACGATTCAATATATCAAACACAGCTGTCATACATAAAAATAAATATATAAAATAAATTCTTACATGAGGATCTATATCTCCTAAGCTATGCTTACACGACTGTTCGATTGAATCAAACCCCGACAAGGCATCAGATCCATTGACAGCTGAATTAGAAGTAGCAACTATTGGATTAGGCTGTTCATCACCTGTAGTAAGAACACGTAAAGCACGATGTAGAATTGTACAAGCAGTCGCGATAGCATAATCACTCATTGCTAAACGTCGACCAGCTTCACGTACAGTCAGGACCAATGAGAATAAAGCTGCATCGGAAAGTGGTGGCCTAGGTGCAAGACCAGCCAATTGACTATTAGGATTACGAATTGCTGATACTGATGCTGGAGCTTCACGTGTTGACATATTTAAAAGGTTTGAAGCTAAAAACACAAAGCAGAGAAGAAGAAATATGCAGACATTGTATTCCTCTAATGAGTACATTTCAGTTTAACCGATAAAAATATTGAAATAAAAACAACAAAACCTAAAGCCTAAATAACGTTGTGAGTAAACCTTACCTCAATACTGAAGATAAGATGACCGACCACAAAGAATAAGCAACCAGAAACTCCGGCTAGCAGAGAACCAGCAAACAAGCACCTAGAAAGAAATGCGGATGGATTGAACATACGCTGAATAGACCTACAAGTGATATCAAGAACCAAACTCTCAAATGGAATCCTAATGGGAAGTGCAATAGGTCATGCGTAGGTCCGAGGGTAGAATGAAGAAGAATGTATGAAGAAGAAATAAAAACTTGCGGGCAGCCACTTACTGGTCCAGGCCAGTTGAAAGTGTTGGCAGAGAACCGATGGTCATGGAGATGTAGTATTAAGGCTGTAAACTCCACTCAAAATGAAACGAACACCTGATACGACAGTAATACTAATATGCATAATATACTTCATAGTGTCATTCTTTAACAGAATGATATTACAGAAGAGCATTAAAACCTGGGGAACTCAGTGAGGCATTTGAAGTGAATACAGGAGTAAGACAACACTGTCTGTTATCACATCTGATATTCCTAATTGTGGTGGACTGGATTACGCGGAACATCGTACATGGGGAGTGAGAAGACAGGAATACACTGCACTGACCAATAAGAAGACTCTAGAAGATTTGGATTTAGTGCGTAAATGATTTATGTATAATATCACACAAACTCGAAGACTAACAGGCGAAAACCAACAAACTGACAGAAGAAGTAGTCACAGAAGACAGGGCTCCAATTGAACATAAAACAAGACGATGATGAAGATAACCAACCAACTACAACATGCACCAGTCAGTGTCAACGGGAGAAATTTGCAAGAGATAACTTGCTTCAACAACCTAGGATGCATTGTTTCACGTATCGGCGCCAGCACAGATAAGGATATCAAAGCCAGAATAGGAAAGGCAGAGTACATCTTTACTACTCTAATATCAGTTTGAAAATATTGTCCATTCAGCATAAAGAAAAAGATCACGATTTTCAACTCAAATGTTAAATCAGTTCTTCTAGATGTGTTAAAAACTTGACGTTTTCAGCAGACTTTTATCAACAGCTACCTTCGCTCCATGTTGAGGATCAACAACACGAAACTATGGAAACAAACCAACCAAGAACCTATCGCTTAAAAAATATGCTAAAGAAAGTGGTGATGGATCGGACACACGCCACTGGGGTGACCGTTCGATGACGTCGCGCGCAATGCAGTCCATCACTCGAGTGGAACCCGAATGGGAAATGGCGAGTGATGACATGCTGGAGACCGTGTGAGCAGGAGAAATGAGAGACCCTGGGGCAATCGTGGGGCCAGGCATGGAGAACTGCAGAAAATACAAAAAAGTGTAGATGTACTGTTGTGTTGAAGCCCTCTACACGTTCCACTCGGAACTCAAGGGAACAATAATAATAATAATAATAATGATATAATTTCAACCTGGAAATAAAACAGTTTGTTTTACTTACTAGAAAACAATCTTAGCAAGTAGATCAACTCTATGAACACCACAATCAACAATCAATTCACAATCAAACAGATAAATGAAAAATATAAATTGTTAGTTTTCACAACTCATATATTACATTTTTTTTCTAAAAAAAACAAGGAAGAGAAGACATTAAACCAATAGGAATGAAGTTAATCTTGAGATCTACTATCAGTAATTGTCAGATATCTAAGATATGGAAAGAGAGAAAGAGAGACGGACAGACCGACGGACAGTGTGTGTTTATGTGTGAGGGAGTGTATTCCAGAGGGAGGCTGGGTTAATTATGGGCAGTTATACAACAAAATGCACAAAAGTCCATGGAGCATTCGATAGAAAAATCTAAACACATAATATTCAAAGACTGTAAAGAAAAATGAAAACAGCTAGATAACAGATAAAATAAATAAACATTTATATGTGTAGAGATGTAGATTATATAATAATAATAATAATAATAATAATAATGGTAATAATACATTATAAAATACCGGGATAATTCATCAAGCCGAAACACGATTTGTTATACTGGACGACGCCTAATGAATTCGAGATTCCTAGTAGCAGTAGGTATTAGTAGTACTGATGCACCTAAACGTGCACACACGTACAAAAGACAAAATATATTAATATGTATAGATTAAGAAGTTACAAGTACTCATCACCACCACCACCCCCATCTTCATATCCCCACCAGAGATCGAATCCAAGATCTTTAGGCTACAAGGCAAGTCTTGTTGTCTGTTCACTCAGTCAGTCAATCGGTCATCGGATGTGACGCACACCTTAAAACACCTCACTTGATCGATAGGTAAGTCCGGTAAAGAGGGAAGGGTTGGGAGGAGGCATGAGGCTAGTAACCTCACCCCGTCGAAAAGAAGGAGAATAAATAACACAGCAACTAGTGAGACTTCAAAGCTTACAAAGCTTGAAGCTATCTACATTCCTCTCGGGAATAAAAATGAATAAAATTATAAAGAACTACAAGCAATGAATAACACACGCACGCACACATACATACATACAAAGTACTAGGCAAAATTGCAATGATGGTAACAGTTCACATGTTTGGTTCTTGTATCTATAAGACAGAGGCGGGGGGCGGGAAAAACTGAAAACAAGCAACATTTAAGAAGAAGCAAAACATTTTACAAAAAATAAGATAAACTATAGTAAAAAAAAACAAGCAAGTTCAAGATAACAATAATGAAATGCTGATTCGTGAGTTTATAAACTCACAACATGAGTGTTAGTAGTACACACGGAAGGGTGGAAAAAAAATGAGATTCCCCTCCCCTCCAGCCACCACCATCCAACTGAATTTTTTACATACCTTATAAGATACTATAGTCTCTGTATATATATGCATAATAATGAATGAATGAAAGGAAAAAGATGCATATTATTATTATTTTTTAAATAACCTAATAAAATTGTTCAAAAGTATTAAACTGATATTAAATAAGACCATATATAAAAAAAGAGAAGAAAATGTTTCTTTCGTTTTACGGCGCTCATTTTGAAGCAGTACAATACACGCACACATTGGTATTGAACAAAAACAAAGATCACAGAGTAGGATATTCAGCATGATAATGATGATGATGATTATTATTAGGAACCTGTTTTGGAATATATGGAGTAGGATGATGATTTAATTGGAATGAAAGAAATTCAACAGATTGATGCTTTTTTCTTGATTGAATACCATCAAAATATGATGGTGGTTCTATTATCCTATTGTTGCTGTTGTTGTTGTAATGTTTGTCTACAACAAGTGGTTCTTCACAATGATGATATGTATCACTCAAGGAATCATCAATACTGTTAGTAATATTATGACTACTATTAATATTGCACTCATCTTCATTATTGTCATGTAAAAGTGAATTGATAGTCGTTTTATTGATTTGATGATGGTATTTAATACTTCCATTAAGTAATAATGGGATATTATTATTATTACTATTATTATTATTATCGTTGTTGATGAGACAATGATATTTACACTTTGATGAATGTGTAAATCTACGACGATTAGAGAAAAATTGTCCCAGGATACGTTTAGGTGAAGTGTTTTCAGTACCACCAGTACCACCGCCACCAACAGCAGCTGGTGACATTCTACTGCTTGGGTGATTATTATTAGCGGTAGTATTACGTCCTTCAAGTAAATACGATAAAGTTCCATAACGTGGATCTGTTGTTGTTATGTTAGAACACCATGCAGAGGATAGTTCATTTTTTAAGTAGTATTGCATCAGTGTATAAATGAATTCTAAATCCCACTGAATTGGAAAAAAGAAGAACAAAAGAGAAAGAAAGGTATTTTGTAGAATCTTATATAGTAATAAAGAAAATAATTGAAAATAATTTCGTTTAATTGGAAACCTCCAATACACCGAAGTCGTCAAATTAGAGGTGCTTTCTGGTGGATAAAGCATAATCACTCCACATGATAGATATGTGGATTTCATATAGCAAACGGTTTATCAGTGGTTCAGTAGTAGGGTACTCGTCAACCGCGCCTCATGAGGTCCAGGATTCCATCCCTTGGTCGATGCACTCCTAAACACCACACTCAGTTGGCAGTAAGCCCGGAAAAGACAGAAGGTTAGGTGTAAGGCTAACAATGCTACCGATACTTTCAAGCTAAAGATATGTTGTGAATTGGCAGAAGTTAAAATTCATAGGCCATTGGATCGGGTCCCGGTGGCTTATTGGTATACGAGCTCACCTTGTAACCGGAGGGTCCTGGGTTCGAATCCCGGTGGGTGCGTACTGATGAGTCCCAAACTAGGACGAAACAGCTGTCCAGTATTCCCAGGTTTTCCAATGGTTCTCTAACTAATGTCAGCTCATGATGGAATCCTGAAACCAATCAAATCCCTACAAACCAACACTTGAATTAAAGCTTGAAACTCTATGTTCCATTCGGAACACAAAGGAATAAAAGGGTATATGCATGGCACACAGTGATACAGTATTAATAACTAGGTGACTATATTTCGAGTACAACCTATTGGTTATAATCTTATAAAAATATATTCAAACGACTTGATAACTTGCTGTCTATAATCTTATTCCTTGATGTGTCTTATTGACAGTTGCCATTTATCAAGTCAACACTGAATATACATGTAGTTGAAATGATGCAACACGTATTCAGAATAAATCGATAAAACAACAGTACGGAATAAGGCAGTATAAAGCAAGTTATCAGGTCATGTGCTCGAAACGTCATTATATATATATATATATATATATATATATATATATTATATTATATCACCAAATAATCTTATGTAATAATGTATAATCAACTGAATGTCGTGATGCTACATACTACTGATGAATCGTTTGACATGCGTAGTTGGAAATCACTCAACTCGTCATCAAACAGCAACACTTGCTAGCCACATCAAAATGAAATAAATACACAGGATTCTAGTTTCAATTACTTTACGCTGAGCTAGATTATCAGTTCGCTATATACACTTCAACTCAGTTCAAGGAGTCAACTGAGTTCAAGCTTCTCAACGTCTGATTCTGCAAGCAATTGAACTGTATTCAATCAACTTTAGTTGAAAAAGTAAAAAATGTGTTATTCTACTTTGCAGGATTATTTTTGCAGATAACCACATTTAATCTAATGCGAATAGAAGAGGATAAACGGGTCTTTGTGGTATGAAGATAGATAAACAATTGATTGTTCCTTTTATGGTTATTTTCTCTCATGCCTACGGAGTTGGCTATATATATACTGATAAAAAATTCTTACATTCCGATGTTGGCTAAGGTAAGAATGGCTGACCTAAAGAAGATAAGTAATTTAGGAAAAAGCTCAGCACTACATTGCACTGCATGCACTAAAACACAATCACACAATAGGGTGGGAGAGGGTTAAAATTTTAAGAAGTAATCTATGTAGGTGGAGAGAGAGGTTGATTACTGAATCCTGCCTGGTTCATTGAGTCTACACCCAGCAGAAGCAACAGAAATGACTCAACGCAAATACCAGAGATACGGAAAATATTATTACCACCAGTCAGTCAAATCAGAAGAGGATAATAAATAATCTTAAATTGTATTCTATTTCAATTTAAGCCATCAGAACATTCTTACAAGTTACTTATTTTGACTATAAGAACACTCGTCTTTTTCCCCCATCTGATTGTATTTGATCAATAACACTCGTATTATTATTTCCGAATGTACATTATCCTATATTAATTTTTATTCAAATGTCTAATCAATTCCACTCACGTATATAAATGAAGGAAGAAAGTTGTGTAAGTGACTTGTTATGACTATGAGCAGCAATAGTTTGTTTTTGAAACATCATCAGTAAATATTACGGTATAACAATGTGTGATTCGTCAAAGTAACATCTCATTCATAATGGAGTTATACTCTACCACAGTGCCCAAGTTATATGTTTATATCAATAATACAGGTAGTCGTTGTATACGATGGTGCAGTAGCTAGTATTTGCTCGGTCATCGGTGCCCATGTTCAACTCAGCATCCCAATTCAACTTAGTGTTATTGAGAAATATGAAACTTTGTGAGATGTATCTGAACCACTACTGAGAGATGCTACCAAAGGGTAGTTTACAACGAAAGTGAATTAACCTCTATACCTATTTTTCAACTTCATAAAGCAGCAGTATAAAATGATGGAAAAAATCAACACCATAACCAAAACAGACTAACAGAATAATGATGGATAAAGGAAAAGATGAAGGAAAATTCTAAAAACATAAGAGCACGTCTTTTATGCTTGAGATCTAAGGACAAAGCTCAACAACATAGCTTAGTTTTTGATTTGACACTAATAACTAGTGTGATGTGTTTAGTCCTCTCGTTGGTGCAGACTGAATTCTATCAGTCAGGTTGTAATCTGGCCACCATTTTACGCAGCTGGCCATCACGGTGCACGTTAATTTCATGATATTAGATGGTTGGAGGCAATCGGCCACAGGAACCCTTGGACCTAGGTTTCGTGCTAGTTGGCACTCACCAGTCAGCAAGACGTATCTGCGACCTTGAAGGAACTCATGTCCCTTCTGAGATTCGAACCCGCGTCACCCAGTGCTGCAGTCAGAGACGTTATCACTGAGCTGTTCGGGCTCGCGATTGACCTCCTGTAGAACTGTAGTGGATATTTTGATTTGACACTAGTAACTAGTGTGATGTGTCTAGTCCTTTCTTTGGCGCAGACTGAATTCTATCAGTCAGGTTGTAATGTGGCAACCTGACTGACTGACTTAAACCAACTGATGTGGATTTCACTGCCTGATGAAGCCATGTTTTGGTTTGACTACCACTAGCTCTTTTCCAACCTTAGTGTCAGTGGTTCTGATACTTCTGATAGGATCCCACATATTTTGGTATTGACTGTTTAAACTTGCATTTATGGTATGTTATCATTCTCACGCATTTTGGTAGTGACTGCTAGTTTTGTATATTATCATTCTCACGCATTTTGGTAGTGACTGCTAATTTTGTATATATGGTATATCATTCCCACACATTTTGTTACTGACTGTCAACCTCGCACATATGGTATATTATCATCTCTCACGCACTTTGTTATTGGCTATTAAGGTCAATTATTTCAAATGCTGTTAGCTGTCCATATTGTTGTAAAATGTATAAATACCATGGCTTTCTTTATCGTTGTTGCACTTCAATACACAGTCACAGTCCAGCCTTTGTCTTTTGATATTTGCGTGCTTTACTAAGTCGGAAGGTACGACGAGCAGATAGACAGATTAGTTCAGGCGCAGACAGAATAAGGTGAAAACGTCTTCATTCAATTCCCTACAGTTATAACAAATTGGCGACGGGGTTTTACCTTAATTCAGTGCAGTTATAACAATTGGCGACGGGATTTACTTAATTCATCGCAGTTATAGCAAGCAAACGACGACAGTTTTTATTCTGTTCAGCGCAACTATATAACATTTTTGACTGTGTTAATTACAACCCAATTACAATGTCTATCTCTCTGGACGATCTCAAATCTATCTTGCAGCAGCAGCAAGTTCAGAATGAAGCAGCTCAACTAAAATTAATCGAAGCTCTCACTCAGAAGCTGTCCATTCAAGTTCCATCAACATCTCATTCTGACAAATATGAAAGCATCTCAAATTCCATCAGTGAGTTCAACTACGATCCAATATCTGGTCTCGTATTTGATGCATGGTTCAATCGTTACGAAGACGTTTTCCGTATTGAATGCTACATGTTTGATGATGCTGCCAAAGTCCGATTGTTACTAAGAAAACTTGGTACTGTTGAGCACAACAGATATGTTAACTTCATTCTGCCTAAGAACCCACGTGAGTTATCATTCGATGAGACAGTCACCGTTTTATCACAAATCTTTGGTGAACAGTCATCCATGTTTAATATTCGGTATCAATGTTTTCAGTTGACAAAAATGCCTTCCGATGATTATGTGACTTACGCTGGCAAAGTGAACAAGGAATGTGAAAGGTTCAAACCACACGAAATGACATCAGATCAGTTCAAGTGTTTGATTTTTATTTGTGGGTTGAAGAACCCAGAAGATACTGACATACGAACTCGACTTCTGTCACTTGTGGAACAAGACCCGAAAATGACCTTACAAATGGTGACAGCAGAATGCCTACGTTTAATCAACTTGAAGCACGATACTGCTATGGTGGAGTGCAAACGACAGTCGTCTGAATTTGGTTCGATTAACACAGTGAAAAGTCCTCCGATCACCGTTAAGCACACAGCACGTCAGTCTCAGAATTCAGCCAAACCTCCTTCAGTGTGCTGGCACTGTGGTTCGTGGCATTTTGTCAAGTTCTGTCCTTTCAAGAAGCATAAGTGCCGTAATTGTCACCGTTTTGGACATAAGGAGGGTTACTGTCCACCGCAGAAAAATCCTTCGGTGAGGAACAGAAGTAGTCGTTTCGAGCCGAAACAATCTCCTCGAGTACAGACTATTTATACAACTTCCAAAGTCGATGTCGCCAGCAAACGTAAGTACATAACACTAGATATTAATGGCAAACGTATTCGTCTTCAGTTGGATACGGCATCAGATATCACCGTAATTTCCCGAACTACGTGGCGCAAACTTGGTTGCCCACAGATTCTGCCGACCGAGCATTTCGCCAAGAATGTCTCTGGAGATAAACTGAAACTCGTGGGTGAGATCAATTGCCAGGTTCAGTTTGGTGAGCATCACTTCAATGGTGTATGTTACGTTACAAACTACCATGATTTGGATTTGCTTGGTCTTGACTGGTTAGACAAGCTCCATATCTTTAATGTACCATTAAATTCAGTATGCTCTAATGTTTCGTCTTCACCACACAACGTTGTTCCCGGAGATGTATCTGATCAATCTCTCTTGCAACGCCGTCGTCAAAAGCACGCTTCTGTCTTCCAGGACAAACTTGGTTGCTGCAAACTGTTTGGCATCCAGCATATTCGTAGCCCCCCGTATCATCCCCAATCGAATGGACAGACTGAACGTTTCGTCGACACCCTTAAGCGTGCTTATGCAAAAGCGAAGGGGGAGGGAACAACAGAAAAATTTTGGATAAATTCTTGCTGCATTATCGTACGAATGAAAAAGGACAGTTATGTGGCAGACACACAGATCACGCTCTATCCAGTACCACGCAAAGGTCAACTCGACAAAGAAGAGCTCCGAAACCTTTTCAAATAGATCCAAAAAGCAAGTCCTACACTCTTTACGGGGGGAGGTGATAGGATCCCACATATTTTGGTATTGACTGTTTAAACTTGCATTTATGGTATGTTATCATTCTCACGCATTTTGGTAGTGACTGCTAGTTTTGTATATTATCATTCTCACGCATTTTGGTAGTGACTGCTAATTTTGTATATATGGTATATCATTCCCACACATTTTGTTACTGACTGTCAATGTCGCACATATGGCATATTATCATTTCTCACACACTTTGTTATTGGCTATTAAGGTCAATTATTTCAAATGCTGTTAGCTGTCCATATTGTTGTAAAATGTATAAATACCATGGCTTTCTTTATCGTTGTTGCACTTCAATACACAGTCACAGTCCAGCCTTTGTCTTTTGATATTTGCGTGCCTTACTAAGTCGGAAGGTACGACGAGCAGATAGACAGATTAGTTCAGGCGCAGACAGAATAAGGTGAAAACGTCTTCATTCAATACCCTACAGATATAACAACTTCACTGAATGATTACGTCACATTTGAGTTGAAAACACCAGACCGGATTAAATGTTATCATATCCACAGACAAGATCTTACTGGCATTAAAACTAATTTTCTATAGCATTCTACTCTACGAAGCAAAAATGCTAAATCTCAATATTGTAAATCGTATTATGATCACATATCAAACATATATCAAAAATACCGCTGAGCTTAAACACATAAGACACATTCCAATTTCACATGATTTATTCGCAAAAACAACAAACAATTAGTAAATTGGAATATGAGTAACATTGAAAATACACTTACGTAACCTCGAAATATATGAGGTCGTTGAAGACATAACATCTTAAAAACAAAATAGACATCGAGAAGGAAATCATCCATAAATTGACTGATTAGAATACGAATTGCACAGAATGTACCCACTCGATAACCACCAGTTCTGAAGAAAAAAGATATTGGAACAAAAATAATTATATAAACCAATCGAATATGAGGAGACAAAAAAACAAGGTGTTCCTGAAATAACAAAAGCGTAACATATTTTTTGATGCTAGAGGATTGACTGACTGAATTTCAACATAGAAATTAGCATCCCCAGAAACCCCAACCACGAAGTCTACATATCCTTACATTGTTCAAACCAAGTGCCAGAGACTTCATGAATTAATGCCAGATTTCGGTTTGATCACCACCTCTGCCTGTTTTGCAGCCTAATCCCATATCGGCTAACATTGCTTGCCGAGGAAGGCGGAGAAGAGGCATGCGTAAGATGTTTCGCAACTTCATCGACTGATATAACCTCCTAACCCTTACATCCTACATCTCAGATGAATATTACTCCCCAGGTTATACTAATTAACATGAGGAGTGGAGTGCAAACACTCAGGGTCAAAGACAGCTAACCTCTTCGGGTATACCACTTTCAATGGCCATAGAGAAGCACACAGCGAACTCCTGTCTGATACACACACGTCGTTTGATCGATAGCCAGATATCACATGCTAAAGAACAATTGCCACAAGAATTTAAGAGTATTTTTGAATTTATTTTGAGGCGCCTATTACAGGTTTTCGTCTATCAATAAACAGAACTATTTTAATAAAAGTTTAGATTATAATAATAATAATAATAATTGCTTTATTCCAAAAACAGTACTCATGATACAGCAAGGAATTTTCAGCATTCAGTACAATATTGCATCTAATTTACCCAAAAACGACAAAAAAAATTAAAAATACACAATACATAATAGTAATAAAACGATTGTTGTAGCAGCTACGTAGCAAAATACTGTGTGCCATACGGAGAAAAATATGTATAAAGTACAAAATTGTAGTAATAATAGTAATACCAACTAATGTAAAATAGCAGAGTAACGATTTAAACGATAGAAAGTATAACACCATAAAATACAGAAAGATGAACGATAAAAGGGTCGATTCACTGTGCTAATTACATAGTAACTTGTAAGTTTCACGTCTAACAGAGTCTTCGTCACATAAAGTACGCGCTAAATGGTATGCAACAGATTTGTGCCTGGTGATTGTGTCTTTTTATTACAGCGCCAAAGTGACTGGTGTGTTTAGTCTATTGTACCATACATAACCAAAACACTGACTGTCAGTGAAGATCGAATTAGAATTCAAACGGGAAAAGAGGATTACCGCGATTGCTGTGAGAAATCGGTAGTAGTACTGAATCGATAGAATAATTTAAATGACAGGCGAACCAGGAGAGAGAGAGAGAGACGGATAGACAGACAGAGTGATTAAATAAAAACTTACTCATCTACTAGGACGACAGGCGCAGATGAACTTGGAAATTTCAAATTATCCTGTGTTAAATGCGTTGCCAATTCAAGTAACTCGGAAGCAATTCTTGATTCTTGTGGATTTTCCAATTCAACAGATGGCCATCTATTAAACTGCCATAGTGTAAAAGGTAGGGCATAATCCTCTCGATCAGATGTTAGTAAGAATTGGAAGCGTACCAAAGAATCACTACATTGTTCCTTACGGGTAAAATTTATGTGTAACCAGCCAATAGTTCTTGTCTAATAAGAGGGAAAAAGATGTACGGACAATCACGATGATTAAGTGATAATATTACTGCACAAATAACAATGAAACAATGCAGAATAACCAGAAGCATAACAGTGAAATTAAGCCATACAGAATAATCATTGTCATGGTCACACGGTGGAAAACTGACTTCACGTTTCGAGAAGCGTTGGGAACCAGGATTGAAATAAATCAAATTGTGAAGAAAGCCAACAATCGGAATTTATTTCAGTCCTCATTGCTGACTGATGCATAGGATGAAACTGCTTTCAGTTCTAGTAAAACCCATCGACAAGACCCACCAAGTTGAGTAGTATGAGGGCAGATACCAGCAGACGATGTATGCTAGGGGTAGCATTATATATTGTGAATTGGCAGAAGTTACAATCCATGAACCGTTAGATTTCAACCTAGTCGTCGGATGGTTAAGGAGCTCGCCTCCTAACCTGGAAGTCCTGAATTCGATCCCTGATGGGGTCATGGGTACGTACTGATTATTATAAATATTACTTCCTTTAATCCCTAGAGGAAAATAGGGCTTCAGCCGCGCGTCTCCATTACCTTCGGTTTTCTGCCAACTTTTTCAACCCGCTCCAAGTCTGCCCACATGCTTTTATCTCCTCTTCACATGACCTCCTCCAAGTCACCCCTGAACGACCAACTCGCCGCTTACCTTTCGGGTTCCACTCGAGCGATGGCTTGTCTAGTGATGTTACTTGATGGTTTCCTCAGAGTATGGCCAATCCATCTCCATTTCTTCCTGCCTATTTCTTGCACAATCGGTTCCTACTGAGTTGGTTCGCTCATTGACAGAGATCCCTATTGCTGATCTCTTCTGGCCGGCCATCTGATCCTGAGTATTGAGCGAAGACAACTGTTAATGAAGGTCTGGAGTTTGTTTGAGATGCTCTTTATGACGCGCCAAGTCTCTGATACGTACAGTGAGTAGCACTGACTTCACATTGGAGTTAAAAATCCGGATCTTATTTTTGATGCTGAGTGCTGTTGACTTCCACACACGCTTAGGAGTAATGAAAGCTTGTCTTGCTTTTCCGATTCTGGCTTTGATATCCTCGTCAGTTCCATCCGCCTGTAGTTGAAACGATGCCTCGCAGGTGGGTAGGTAAAGGAAGTTGTTTCTTTCAGATTTTTCCCATTTATGCTGGCTGATTGTTGTCTTTTGTTGCTGCTGCTGGTATCGACCAGGAATCTTCATCACCTCTGTTTTCTCTATGTTCACCTGAAGTCCTATCTTTGATGCTTCTGATGGAGAGTATCAAAATGGAACGAAACAGTTGTCCAGTATTCCTAGGTATTCAGTGGTCCCTTCAGTGAAATCAATTCGCGATCACACTTTAAATCAATTAAATCCCTGCGAACCAGCGCTTAGGAAAAAGGCTTCAGTTTGAAAACACACGATAATAAATATTAGAATGTATAAACACATACGACATATGTACATGAAGGTGTCCATTCAGATTCATGCAGGATAGAATGCACGACTATCCCGTATCAAAATGCCTACTGAAATCAGAATACATACAAATATACACTGTGAACGTATTCCATGCTATGAGAATAAATGTGCACCAAGTAAATACACAGAATCAGTAATCTATAAAAAGAGTATAAAATACAAACAAAAAAGAATATTAACTAACCTGTTCAATTTCATCTGGCCAAAATGGTGTTAAACTTTCATCGGACAGACATACAATCAACGATGAATTAGCATCCCATACTTTTTTCCAAAAGTCAGTAATATTATTGCCTAATGGATGCCGAATAACAATATACTCACAGACATTTAGGAATCCATGAAGAATAGAAAAATCAATGCCTAAACTATCAGAAAGAGCTAAAATTTAAAGAAGAAAAAAATGAAATAGTATTATACTTACAATTAAAGAAAGTGGATCAAAGTATTGAAGTATAGTAGTGAGCAATCAATATATATATATAGTATTCTCATTTATTTTTACATGAGAAACGCCAGTTAATTTAACAGGCGTCATCAATATGCTAAATTATAAAATATAGACAGTAATGCCTATATTCATGGAGGTCGATGGTTATTGAAGTCCTTTATCTTAAAAAACACAAGAGTATCAATAAGACAAATAGCAATGTCGATAAATTCGCTTTAAAAAAGTAAGAGTAGTAGTGTACATGGTAACGATCCCGAGTGTCAGCACTATTTAACATTACAAATGGCAAGTTATTACTAAAACCTAAAGGCAACTCGTCTAAAACGTTAGTTACAAGAGTCGTCAGCGTAGACTTGGATATTTGAAGTATTATAACTAATTCGGCAGTAAACAGTGAAAAGTAATTTTCAGTTAGAAACTATAACAATCATCAAATTAATCCACAAGACTGAATGACTGACTAGTTTCCACCTAGAACTTTTCACAGATGTGCAGCAGTTCGAGTTGCCACACTCCATGTAGTACACAAAGCAAGAGAAAAGAGTAAAGAAAGATTAAAAAGTGAGATGATCAACTGAAATATAAGGCGATAAGAATAGTAATATGGAAGAACAATAGTGCTTTATTGCACATTATAAGTCACAAGAAGTGAATGCATCTGCGATTTTTAGCCATATCACCATTTGTCTCTAGGCTGGCTTCATTGGTTTTTACCATCCTGAGGACCCCAACCAGTCAGGAAAGTCTATATCTCCCTACATAACTGACTGACTTAAAGTAACTGTTGTGAATTTCATTGACTGATGAAGCCATGTTTTGGTTTGACCATCACTAGCTAATTCTTTTCCAACCTGATCCATCCCATGTCAGCTAACATTACCCGTTAGTCGAAGGTGATGGCTAGACATAGCTACGCAAAACATGTAACCATCTCAACTGATGTAACTTCACAGCCTCGTCAATTGATTCCCCTCCCCCGTACTTAGCACTCAACGCCTAATCTAAATATTGTTGACCCTATTATACCACCTAACACAGGAGATAGAAGGCAGACACCTAAGATGATAGATAGTTACACAAGACAATGATAGTGAAATGAGTTAAGGTAATGGTGGTGATAAAATATGGTTTTATTAATAATAATTGCATAAAACTGTACTGTAGACTATTCAGTCAGGGAGTTCTATCGAAATTCAGTGAGTTCATTGAATCTTCTTTGTGGGGGATTTGATTTGTTGTAAGTTTGACCACGGATTGATATCAATTAGAGAACCATTAGAAAACAGAGACTCCTGGTTTGGGACTCATCGGTAGTACGCACCCACTACTCAGGTTCGAACCCAGAATCCCTCGGTTACAAGGGAAGCACACAGTATTCAGCCACTGGGACGCGACTATGAATTATAACTTCCACCAATTTATGGTTTTTATCCGATGTCATCAGCGAATATTTCTCCTAACGCCTTCTACAGAATGAAACCCATTGGCCACGACTTCTCAAGAAAGTTAGAATTCATGAGCCTTGAATCGTGTCGCAGCTCTTTCCTTATAACTGGAAGGTCGTGAGTTCAAACTCTGATGGGTGCGTACTAACGATGATAACGATGGGATGATAAAGGTGTCCAGTACTTCTTGGTTTTCCAATGGTTCTTTAACTGATATCAATTCGTGGTCGAACTTGCAACAAACCTTGCCTTATTAACATTTGTTGCTTGCTGTGGATTCGTGATGGGAAATGTAGGTTTCTAATAACAAATGCTTCTTATGCGTTAAGTTTGTGTCGTTAATGAGAGACAAGAAATCCACAGGTAGCATACAGATTAAAAAGAACATATAACAAGTACATAAGGACAAAGTTGCCAAAAAAGGACACGAAAGAAATGTGAATAATTGGGCGAATGAAAAGCTTAAGCGCTTAGATATGTAATATGTCCGGTGCAATGTTTACACTATACTTACGCCCCTGTTACATCATCAAACACTGATGTCTTTCAAATGTTATTGTCCTAGTGAAGACAGACATTGTCCTACTACTAAAATATAACTTCACGGATTTTCTTTCATGTCTAATTTTTGTATAGTTTCTAAAATTTAACAGCTGAACTAATCAATCACAAGTAAGTGCAACAAATCATAACACGATGAAGATGGGATTCAATGATAGACATAATTCGGGTTTTTGAAGTAAAAAAAGGACAATTTTTTCTCCAAACCTTCATGAATACTTTTACAGGAATAAAATTCTACAAAAGTAGACAACTTGGCTGAATAAACATATTCATGAAACAGTCTTGTATACCGACTATCTAACTTAAATGAAATAACATGCGGTCGCTAATGAATGAGTCACACCTGACTGTCCAAACGTCAGTAGGTATGGCAGACGGAGTTCCAACGCGTGACCCACTAATTGAAAATCGAGTACCTACGACAATAAACCACAGCTCAACGATTTTCTAATTACGCATTAAGACATTTGACTATATTTTCTCTCATTCATTTTGCATTCTAAGCGGAACACAGGGATCCTAGCTTTCTAAACTGTGAAATTTGAGTAGCAAAAGTGGTATCCTTTTTCAAAGCGGTGGAATTTATAAGCCTCACTCTCAACCATCCCTTTTCACCGGTTAAACGATGCTTATGCATGCGTTGGTCGGGAATCGAACTCTGGATGACTTGTGGTGTGGTTGCAGAGCATTCTAACCATTGAACCACTGAGGCACTATTTGACTGTAGTCTTAGAAAATAACACAATGGAAAAACAAAACACACATTACCTGTAGATATAGGCAATTTCATTTGATCCACAATTGAATTACCCGAGTTCGTAATGCCGCCAATGGAGTTGTATCCGAAATCCATACACATCTTGAGTTTTAAAAAATTTAAATTAAAAAATAATAAAATACAATGGATGTATTATTAATCAACACATTTTTACGGTGCATTCAAGTATACATTAGATGATAGATAAACATACTAACCACATATTAAAATATGCGTACTACTTGCAAAAAGGAAGTTTCAATTTCAGTGCTCACCAGTCAATCAGTCAGTCGATCACTCACACAAGTGGTAGCAGAATATCAAATTAAATGTTTTCAATGTTGAACAGATACATGGGCTTAGTGTTGGAATAACAGGAAACACAGATAACACTTGCCATTAACGAATATGAGAGGAGCCCCTCACAATTAGTATAATAAAGAATAAATGACGCTTTTAAAAAGCAATCACCAAAACACCTGTCACTAATCCAAAGTATCCACTGAGTAAATTTCTGAACTTCCTAAAAGCAACCACAAAGTTACTAACCTGCCGGTTGCCTCCAACTATCTAATGTCATCAAATCAGTGTGCACTGCAATGTCGAGCTGCCTAGAATGGTGGCCACATTGCAAACCTGACTGATGGAATTCAGTCTACACCAAATAAAGGACTAGACATGTCACACTAGTTACTAGTGTCCAATCAAAATAAAGTTACTAATAATTTAGCAAAAACAGGAAAGGAATAAACTGCTAATAGGGAACAATTGAAGAGCAGTAATACGGTGAGAAGGTACCAGAAGAGGTGAATTTTATCGTTGTATACTCTACCAAAAGACCTTCTTTTCATTATAATATATATGTAAAACACGGAGACGGTGACAGTTATATAATTTCATATTATTTTGACTTATTGGATATATGATACAATGAAACAGTATTATTTATTGGATAACGTTTCAAAGACAACTTTGGGACTCGACTTTTATAGTTCATGTTTTTTCTCATTTGTCGTAAGGACAGTAACCTTAAAGAACCTTAAGAACACCTATAGTTTAATATGACGAAGTGGAGATGGACTGGACGCACACTGAAGAGCTTGTCAGGAGACATCATGCATCAGGCCATTCATTTAAGTGGAACCCGAATAGGAAAGGACGAATTGCGTGTCCAAGGACGACATGGAAGAGATGAGAGGCTGTGAGTAGTCGTGTGGTCAGCTAAAGAGGATGGCAGAAAACAGAACAAAATGGAGATGCGCCGTTGAAGTCATATGTTCTACTCGGAACCCAAAGGACTAATAATACTAATACGACTACTGACTTCGAAGGTTCAAAGGTAGAATGCTCGCATCCACGCACATGAACGAGGGTTTGATTCCCAGCAGAAGTACTGTCCTACACCTCACCTGGTTTAGAGCAAGCAGAGAAAAGAGATAAATACGATTTGTCGACTTCACCGCGTAAAAGTTAACACCATTGCTGCTACTGGAAATCCTGTATACATCAACTAGAGGGACGCAAAGAATGAAAGAAATATGAACAACGACTTACATCAAATTGTTTCTTTAAGTTCGATACACCTGCATGATCTAATTCATATAAATGTCTCACATAATCACTGAAGTGTAGCGGATGAATTGAATGACACGGATATAGTATATATTCGCATAATGCATCATGAATAAAAGCATATTGTTGCTAAATGAAGACAAAGAGAAGATGATCAAAAGAAAACGTTTTTTTAAAAAAATAAAATAAAACCAAATTGATTGTTTAAAATACAACTCAAAATAAATGCTTGTATAACAAAAAGACAATACGGAGGAATGCTAGCTAAATTCATTCATCATGTATGTATCAATTATCCTAGTGCTTTTTTTGAATTTACACGAAAATTCTTTTATCTAAACTGTAAACTTTTAAGCCTCACCCTACAACCTGTATATACTTCTTGGTGAAACATTTGAGAGAGATAAAGAGAGTTTAAAAAAAAAAAGAAATCGAATTTAGGATGGATTGTGCATTTAGACATCACGTTGACTGATGTCAATGGGTAGGGCTTCATGATGCCTGACACATGTCATTCAATATATTGTAAAGCTGTGGCTTACTGGATAAAACATACAACTTTTAATCAATCAATTCGAGGCCTGTTTTACTGATTCAGATTTGGAAAGATGGGTAGCGTCACTAGTGATGGTACAGCATAGAAATGACTCATTAACATACAACATAAATATGCACGTGACTATAGAGTGGAGGAACTCAATTTGTTATGCTGCCCTAGACTTTACGTCAAACTTTCCCTCCTTTATTTTACCTTTAGCTTATGACCTCATCTGAACTAACCTCAATTTAATCAGTGATTGCCTATCTTCTTAAAATAACCAGTTAACAAACTGTAAGTTAACCAGCCAACTAACAACAACAAGCATGAATCACAATCAATGGAGGAAATTTAAAAGAGGTAACTTCCTTCACTTATCTGACGAGGCAGCTGGCGACAACAACCATGAAGATGTCAGAACCAGTATCAAAAACCAAGATAGACATTAATCACTCTCAAATCGGCATGGTGATCTCTTCCCCTCAAAATAAAGAAAGTAATTCGGATTTTCAACATCAATGTTAAGTCAATTCTATTATATGAGTCAGAAACTTGGCGTGTCATGAAAAGCGTTCCCAACAGCCTGCTACACACTTTGATCAACAATTGTCAGCTTCGCTCAATATTGGAAAGAATTAGCAACGAGAAATTCTGTGAACAAACCAAAAGAGAACCTATTCCTCAGCAAATATGTAGGATTAAATGGAGATGGATAGGAGACATGCTGAGGAAACCGTCGGCAGACATCGTGCGTCAGGCCCCCAAGTGAAATCCGACTAGGAAACGATGACTTGGACACGTCCGAGGGTAGTGTGGAGGACGTCTTGTGACGAGATGATGAGTGCCTATGGGCAGTACTGCCGTCAGCTAAAAACGACTTCACATAAATGAACAAAATGGACACGTGCTGTTGAAGAACTATGCTCCACTAGGATCCCAAGGGACCAGTAATAATTATGAGTTGAAAGATAGAATTGACGGTATAAGTTGAGAAATAAATAATTTTAAAACAAACGACACGCATAAGTTTCAGATGGATACTGATTATAAAATAAAAATATTTACTTCTGTCTGTACAAGTTTCATGCGTTGTTGGCGTATATGCTCCAAAAATCCACGAACAGAAACAGCCTGTTCCACTTTAAGCTGACGTATTAAACTTTCAATACAGATGTAAGTACCAGTTCGACCAACACCAGCGCTGCATATGAATTCCAGAGAAATAAATACACAAGAGTGAATAACACACATATATAAGACATAAGTATAAAACTTGGGCACTGTGGCAGAGCATAACTCCAATATGGATAAGATTTTATTTGATTTATCTAAGGGAGAGACAAAAGGTAGAACTTCTTTTGTTGCATGCAAAGACTGGGATTGTTCTCTCGAATTAATTCCCATAGCTTCGGCTATGTGCAAAAGGCGGGTTCGAAAGGTTTAAGGGAATGCGATAGATAACTTTGGTGTTATCTATTAAATAACTTAAAAAGGCACACACACACACATACGTAAGAGTACCCAGTTGGATATGATGACAAAGTTAGAGAAATGTCTACCTTATACAAAACACGAGAAATATCTGCTGGAAACATTAAACAATAAAATATACCTGCAATGCACCACAATTGGACCCTTTTCTAATGTCCAGTGAGTAATAGAAGCTTCTACAAATTTCAATACTGGAAGTGGAGATGGTGGTACATCAAAATCTCTCCAATCTGTATACTGATAATGATAGACAAAACGATCTTTAGAACTCTGAAGAAGAAGAAGAAGAAATAGAATACGTAGACAAGTGTATGTGAAATAAGTTATCAATCATGTAAAGCGAGTGTAGTAATATAAAGTCACCAATTACACAGTATAGTGAAGAGTGATGTTTCAGTTGTCTTGTTTTAACTTTGTCGATTGTAATATGCATATACACTACGAACAGTCTCCAGTCAGGGCTTTGAGGACACACACACATATCTACATAAGCACTCTGCACCTTTCCATGTAAATAAAATCAACAGTCAAAGACTTTGTGGATTGATGACAAATTTAAATTTAACCACCTTTAATTATTAATTGGTGGATGGTGACTAGCAGTGGATGGGCATTTCGTCCTATTTCGGACTCGTCATCTGGATGTACCTGCATTTCTCAGTGAATGATGATGTTTCCACCCAGGCTCGAACCCAGTGCCCACAGTTTCAGACACCGAAGCGTTATCCACTAGACCACTTGGGCCAGGAGAGCCACCTCTTGTGCAACGGGTTATATTAATTTAATCGAATTTTTGATTTTCCCGTCGATTGATTGGACCGAAGTGCTCGGCCTCAGGTTGACATGTCGGCTTCTCGAGTCCCAAATAGAACGAAATGTGCATCCTGGATTCCACTGCTAGTCACCATCCATCAATTAAACACTAATTAAATGCCCAGACATCATTGAAGCATTTGCACAAGAAGCCGACATGTCAACCTGAGACCGAGCACTTCGGTCCAATCAATCGACGGGAAAATCTAAAATTCAATTAAATTATCAATTTTATATAAATAATCGTCAATGAGTAGAATTTTTCCCCAGAATATGGAGTTTAATTCAACTCGAATCATTATTACTATTATTATTAATAACAAACAAAAAGTCGACAAATACTACTACTACAACTAGAAATACGTAATAAACAATAGAATAAAGAGATTTACACGTTTAGCTTTGATATTACGGATAGAGAACACCCGGAAGGTGTAGAATGCTCGTACAACCTCGGAAACAATACGAACTGATATATTCCCATAGGTTTGTTGACCTGAACTAGGCCAATATTTATCACATTTTCGCTGCAAACAAAGAAGAAGAAGAAACGATTGGGTCTACTTCAAAACAAAACAAAAACACAAGTTATTATGGAATAAAAATGAAAGAAGTATCAAATTTCCTGTAAATGAAAGGATTGTAATAAGCCGTTCATATAAGAAATCATGGGAAAAGGTTATTAAGAGGGTAAATAGTACAGAGGTAGCATACTCATTGACCACACACATATAGTGTACTGGGTCCGACCCCTGATCGATGCACTCCATAAACCCCGCTAAGTCGGCAGTAAACACGATAGAAGAGGGAAGGTTGGGTGTGAGGCTAGCAACGCCATCCCATAAAAATAAAACCACGGCTTGAACTTCTATGTTCTACTTGGAACACAAAACAATAAAATAACAATAACAAGTACACAATAAATTTTACCTCGCCGTTTAACACATCAAATTAAATAAATAAAGAAAATGACTAAAAAAACTTTGATTAGAGTAGCTGGAAGAGTGTAGGATTTCGGTAGAGTTTATACTGACCTAAATTGAATCCATTTTTTCAAACTGTTAAAAGATTTCAACGAGTGAAAGTATTCCAGGTCCTGCATATCTGTTGTTATTATTATTATTATTAATTGCTTCAAGTTCCCGGTGGAACATAGGGCTTCAAGCAAGAGGCTTGAAGCTTCTATAGCAGTTTATATTTTTACAGAATGGGGTTGCTAGCCTCATGCCCAACCTTTCCTCTTTACCAGCATTATTTCTGGCTTAGCAAAGTAAGGGAGGAGTGGGTCGGCCGTGGATCGAACCCCGGACCATGTGTATGGTCAGCGAACGTCCTAACCGCTGTGCAACTGACGCACCCTTGCATATCTAAGCTATTTCTAATTTACTTATAAAAATGTCTATAATACAACAAATGCCTACGGTACTGATTGGAATCTTTAAGGATACATTCCACTACATATACCATCCAATCTACGAGAAAATGAATAGTTTCAAGTACAAGTACGTGGACACCCTTGTCATTTAGACATAATTGAGCAACTACGTCAAAAATTTCAAAAAAATATCAGAGTTAATGATGTTCGATTGAGAATAGGTTTAATGTCTATTGAAGAGGACTTTCTCCACATATCTTTTTATATACATATCATATTGTAAACGTGTGACATTTTTTAATCGCACACATCTTTCTGGGAGAATTGAACTGATCAAAAAGCTAAACCATATATATGTACCTATTCAAAAACTGACCAATCGAACAGTGAAACCAGATGGTAATACTGTTTATTTAAAGATGGTCAACTTAACTCATAACCGTTATAATCGATAAAATGCACAGTGGTTCAGTGGAAGAATGTTCCCAAACCATGTGAGAGGTTCGAGTTCGATTGCAATGCATCCCAAAACCCTATCTAGGCAGTAATAAACCCGGAAACAAAGGAGGAACGTTGGGCGCGATGTCAGCAACCCCACCCCGCACAAAGATAATACCAACAAAGGATACTTTGAAAATAGCTTGAAGCTCTATGTCCCATTTGGAACGCAAACGCGATGAAACTACAATTCAAATAAATACCACCGTACAGGTAAGGGGATAGGTAACTATTTTTTCTCAAACAAGGACATACAAGTCCCGAATAACATCATTGATGAAGAAAAAGACGACATCTCAAGAAAACACGCTGTAGTGATTCCAAATAAAACAGACATCAAAAAGACAGTATACATCAAGGCACTAATAAATGATAGATGCATGAAAAAGGATAGTAAATATATCAACTTACCCGACCACGTTCAACAAAATTAGATATCATAACAATTACATTGGACATTTGCTCCCATACCATCAACCAAAAATCATCAAAAGTTGATGGAATAGGGCCTTGTGCAGCTATGTATGCTGCTCGACGATGATAACCCTATAAAAGTCAAAAAATAACATTAAACTTTGTTTAAATTACGTTGGATCATAAACTGGTCAAAATAAGTAATAGTGAATGATAATAAGCCTTGTTCATAGTTGGTTGGCTAGAAGTAAGTTACCGTATACCAAGCCATGACCCCTAATCATATTGTATGAGTGCTAATGATACTAACCTGCTGACCTATTTCAGCAAGAATCTATCGCATAGACAAATATGCAGAAGGAAATGGGGGATCGAGTGAGTATTAGCCGAGAAGACATTCAAGTAACATCAAACGCCAGTCATGTCCTCCAGTGAAACGCCCAAACAGGAAGTAACGGATTGGGCATCCGAAGGTGACATGGAAGAGATCACGTGAAGAAAAAATGAAAGCTTAAGGGTAGTCATGGAATCTGCTGCAACTGTTACGTGTGCTACCGAACAGTATATGAATATAAGTATAAATGTGTATATCATCTGCAGGAATATCGAATGGCGGAAACATGGATTTAATGGCGGAGAGAAGAAATAAGTGATGCATGTGAAACAGCACGGGAAACATGAAAAGAAGACAAAGAAGTACAATAACGAAGATGTATGCAAATTGTGATTCGAATATATAGCAGACATACTTTGCCTATATCTGTACATCTAGATGCCAATAAATAATTTCGTTGTGAAATACTCCAGTATTCTGCAGTTACAAAAGTGACAGTAGAGAACACAGCATAGTGGAGTTGAATTGCTGAAGCCCAATATTTCAGTTATCCAGACTGAAGTAGACAGAACGAAATTCCAATCTGGGACCCGCTGACGGGAAGTCAGGTGCTCTAGACCAATACGTCACATCTCCACTAGCCTCATTTACAAACCATTCATTCGTCGTGTATAGGCGTTCACCTCAATGCCTGTCAGTAATCCAGATGGAATAATAGATGTTTCGCATGCACGAAATCAAGTTTCGAGCATTTTACCAGTACACGAGAATTCAATACTATTAATGCATACACTACAAAAATCTTACGGGATAAACCAAACAAATAGTAAACCCGCCTTTTAAAAAAACTTTACTACAAAGTATTTAGTAAAGTGAAGCGCAATTTTGGGAAAGACGATTAATCAACAATTATTTTACTCACATCCACATAGTTTGCATTAATATAATCACTTTTTGTTCCGGTTTCTTTGAGAACAACTCTTGAGTGGTCATCTGTAAAGCAAATACGTTCGAAATTGCAAGCGGTTGTTAATGAAAACCAGATTTAAAACAACAGATAATGGGCTAAATTAAGAAAAAATTATATTTCATTATTATAAGAGTTCGTGTATTTCTCAATGAATGAAAAAAGAAACGATATAGTTTCCACTGATGTTTTGCTATTTAATGCTAATAGCTTTACCAAAGTAATAATTAAACTAAAGTTCACACTCTCCGATAACGGATAAGAAGGAAAAAGAAGAAGAAATATCAACCATTCCTGAAATTCTCAAGAAACGTGACCATTCAAAGAACTTCATTATCAAAATCAACACACTAACATTAAACATGGTCGAAAATGTATTCCCAAGACATGGACCTCAACAGTTGTCATTCCATATAGGTCAGAAACGTCAGAAAATATCAGAGTTTTCTTCAAAGCATTTGACACTACAAAGCAATCCCAACCTTTTGAAAGACCGAATGCTTGGAATGTGAGATGCTATATACAGAAGACAAACTTTGGCAGAAATCGAGATCAAAAGAAATGAACACCGTTAACCACCCAATCAACCATCGAGAAATCCAGTTGGACTAGAAAAGCTTGAAAAATAATCAACCATAGGTGGTCTGCACGCTGTACGATCAAGTCACAAATTGACTTTGGCAATATTGAAATATCATCCAGAAAAGTTTCAGAAATCACAAAGAACGTCCAATGTCAGAAGCACTTCATATTAAGTGAAATCCAATCCAATTAAACCTGCCTGCAACACACACACACACACATCCGTACCCATAAAGTGGCAAAATCAACACAAACGTGATAAGCAATTTCATTATGTAAACACATGTTGCTTTGATAATTTTATACACTTATTAAGTCTAACAATCTTCACGTGGTTTTGTTATCCTTACCAATTAACCGACTTGAAAACATAAAAATTACATCACACTGGAGAAACATGATTACGATGTTATATATAAGCTGAGATATTGTAAATTATGGTTTAATAATACTTTGATAAAGCTTCTGAGCATTAAATAGAGAAACGTCAGTAAAAACAACAATATCGTTTTGCTTTCCATCCATTAGGAGATACATAAACCTTTATAATAATGAATATCACATACCCAAACTATTAGAAGTGAACTTAATTTGGACATATATAAGATTGTATTTCCTCTAGGATGTATCTACAGTACATATATATCAGTGAGGATAAGAGCTGTTACGAGGTGTTTCTGCGCATAATATTGCAAACGCCACCCATCCACCCACCCCACCCCAGCAGATATTCCAGCCGTGTAAAACAAAAAGGTGATAAAACACCCTTTAAAACAGCTAAACATAACTTCTGGTATGATTATTGCAGCATTGCTAACGTCTCTGACTGCATAACTTAGTGTGGTGGGTTTGAATCTCCGAAGAAAAGTCAATTTCTTCAAGGTTGCACATAAACCTTCCAGACGAGTGTCAACAAGAACAAAACCTAGGTTCAAAGCTTTCTGCTGAATGTCTTCAACCAATTAATAACATATTCGGAGTATAATGCGATGCCAGTAGTAGTAACCTGGCTTGGTGACCGCATTGCAAACCTGACTGATAGAATACAATCGGCACCAATACAAACGGGAAGAAAAATGATGTCGGCTATTGCCCAGTTATCGATTAAAGTAGGCTTTTACATGTGATATGCTGGGATGTGTTACCCACAAAAAACGAATCAGTTGATTTCTATAGCCAACCGATACTAATAATAATTAATATTTTTTTATTACAGCTTGATTCCACATCGTATTTTTTGGTACAGGTGTGGAATTTTTAGCATGTGATATCGGTAGCCCAAATTTTGCAGGCCGACCATAGATATCAGGTGTGCGTCAACAGGGGGTCAAACCCCGGAGTATGTCTATGATTGGCGAGAGTCATAACCACTGTGCCACCGACGCACAGAAATTTTCGAAATCATGTAGTACTACATGATAAATTCTCTTCCTACCTCTGAAAACCTAATGGCAAGATTTGAAGAACTATCAGTGTCACTCAGCATGAACAACAAAATTCGGATCTTCAATACAAACTGTCAATTCAGTTCTTCTATACGGATCAGAAACTTGGCGGGTGGGCCACAAAGAATATTTCCAAAAGCCTGTTGCAGACCTTTTTCAACAACTGTCTGTCTCCGTTCTATACTGAAGATCAGATGGCCGGAAAAGACCATCAACAAGAAACTATGGGAACAAACGAAACAAGAACTAATCGCCAAACAAATATGCAGTAGAAAAAGGAGATGGATCGGACACTCACCGAGGAGGCCGCTGGGTGACATGGAGGAGATCGTGTGAAGAGGAGTTGAAACAGTATGGACTAACTTGGATGCAGGTGAAAAGTACAGCAGAAGGAAGACAGAAGCAAATGGAGACGTGCAGTTGAAGCCCTATGTTCCACTAGAAACCCAAGGGAACAATAATAATAACAATCAGTAAATCTAAAGAATATACTTATAAATTTACCCAATAGCATAGATCCTTATATCATCCTTAAACGTCAAGGAATATTAAGTGTGAGTGAGGCTCACAGTCATAATTTCCAAATCAAAGAATACTGCAGTATATTATTTATTTTATTCGTTTACATCCCCAGTGGAACATAGGGATTCAAACTAGAGCCTGGAAGTTTCGGTAGCAGTGGTATTTATTTTTACAGGATTTGTTTGCTAGCCTCATGACCAAAATTCCCTATTTACCAGTCTTATTATTGGCTTAGCAAGGTAAAGGATTGTGTCGGTCTAAAACCGAATCGTGAATCACCTGCGTGTTTGGCGAGCATTCTACCGCTGAGCCACCAACGCACTGTAGTATGTACACATTGGGGTTAAAGGAAATAGAAAACTTACAAGCCAAAATGTTGGAATATCGATTTTTTGCAATATTCTCTGGGGATCGAGCAACAGATGTTGGCCAATCATTTTGAACATTCTGCTCCAACGACTGTAATTTCCAAAATGAAAAAAAAAACAGAAGATACTGATAACAACAAAGGTAGTATTGCAAATTTTTGGACAGAAATCAAATACCATCAGACTAGTTTGTCACACTATGACAACGATGATTTCTATGCATTGACCAGTTTTACCTTAAATGATTGGTGCCAAAAGTTGGTTACGTAATCTGAAGGATGGTATACATTTGTCCCTTAACCAACAAACCACGTCTACCTCTGTACTATTATTATTATTATTATTATTATTATTATTATTATTATTATTATTAAAACAGACTGGGTACATTATAGACATAAAGAGATTAGCCATACAAAATATTATAAATTGTGTGACAACCGTAATGCTGATCCGACTCCCAGATCAAAGCAGGTGGATGTCTCAAGGGATCACTCCGCCCCCTAATCCTCTTATCCGAAGTTCCATCCAGATAGCAGTCGAGCAGCGACAGGATATCCGTTCTCATGGCTTTCGGTGACAGAAAGGGATCCATACCCCTCCCCATTCGATCCGTCCGGATTCTGCAGACGATGTAAACCATAGGTTTGAAATCAGGGTTTTCCAGCTACCTTAGGTAGACTTGCATATCCACCAGTTCAGTAATAAGCTCCACACGTTCACATTCCCCCTTTCCCTTTGCATGAAGGCAGTGAATAGGACTTACATGGGCACAGCCTATGCAATATTGTGGCCACATGTCAGCATTTCGAGGGGACGACCGAAGTCTACCCATCATCAGCAGTACCAGATAGTCTAAGGAGGTCATATCTTTGAATAAAACAAAAGATTTGTCGTCATTCGAATGTTGATATTCAGGGAAATATTTTACCGTACTTTCAAAGAGCAACACGATGTCAGTTAACAATAGGAGATCGCAAAACTAGTAAAATGTGTTCAGAAGTCACACTTATATGATTTATATACAAAAGGTTTACTCTAAAAACGTATAAAACCCGATTAGTCTTCAGAAAGAAGCCGATGTTAGTCTGTTTTTTTGCTTGGGAAACTTAATTTCCTAATTCTTCGTTTTATTTAGTAGTATAATCTTATGCTTTAACCTCTTCCATTCAGGTATATTATAATCTATTACTTTATGTCTGTTTCTATCATTTGAATTGAACTCATCACATTATAAAGCAACTTTTTAGCTACTTATCCTCAACCTATCCATCTCTCACCTTTATTATGCAACCCCGTTTCCAAATGATCGACATTTTTTTTCAATGAAGTGAACCTTTCGTGTAAAATTTATATAAGTGTAAATTTCGAGCACTGTTTGCTATTTTTTGGTGTCTATTTTTTTGAACAGATATCGTGTTGCCGTTGCAAGTACATTTAAAAAATCTCTTTGAACATATTTAATAAACAATGTTTTAGATATCCATTGAACTATCTGCTACTACTGATGGTCAAGTTAAACTTTAAGGACCATTAATTGCCAATCAGCGAATGACCTTGAATGTTTCAATGAGGTTCATGCACGCGACTTCAAGGTTGTATAGTGCTTGATTCATATCAAATGAAGTTACGCTTGCAGTTAGATGAGGATAAGGTTTTGCAGTATTGCCTGGATTTGCGGTTGCTTAGCAAGGAGAGATATCGCCTCATGGAAAATGGAGAGAATTACTTGGTTGTTAGGCGGAGAAGGTGTCGTCGTACGCGTGGACGAAACTGTGTCATTGAAGAAAATATACAACCATGGTCGTGAGCGAGCCAACAATGTTTGGGTGATCGGTTAATATGACACCTTCCTGCGGAAAGAATTCATAGAGAGAATACCAGACAGAAAGTCTACTACCTTAGTACCTATTGTTACTGGACTTGTGAAACAGGGATTCCTTGTACATACTGATAAATGGAAAGGTTATAACTCGCTGTCATCTCTTGGATATGTCCATCACAGAGTCAACCATTCTAGGGATTTTGTGGATCCAATTACAGAGACACACACTAATTCTATAGAAAGATTTCGCGAAAGATTAAAAAATGAGATTAGTGTTATAAATAGATCTCATTTATAGTCATTTAAATGAATATATTTAAGGAATGTGGTGTAACTTTTCTATTGACTCTCCTATGGTAAACTGGGAGATGTTTCTGTCACATTTTAGAGAACGATACCCTAAGTAACAGTTTTATGCAGTTTTTATGCCAGTTTTTTTTCCATAAATATACGTTTTCCTTGATCAAAAGTCCCTCTTTCTTGTGATTGGTCCGTTGAAGGTCGTTCGCTGATTGGTAGTTACTGGTGCTTAAAGTTAAACTCTGCCCTACTGATTGATTGATATGAGTAGTTGTACACGACTTAAATCAACCAATAGCGCTTGCTAGCCAGATTATCGAAGTGATCTAAACACCGGACAGTCGTTTCGCCCGTTTGGAGTAGAGTTTATCAGCTGAGAGCCGAACCACCTGAAATCATCCAATTTCCGTCTAGCTACAATTCGGAGAACTGGTGGTTTATAACTACTCATCTTACTCAATCAGTAGTATACAGAATTTTACGCATTTATACTTGTTTTCTTGATTATCATTTATGGCATCAAGCAGATCACACACTGTGGTGATCTGAATAGTTTTGATGGTGAAATTCCAATCGCCCAATTGTGCAAACTGAGAATGTCATTTAATTTTTGTTAGACTGTGTGAGGTTGACAAGAAACTGACGGAATAAGTGACGGTATCATCGTATTCTTTTCGCTTTATTCAAATTCAGAGAGAGAGAAATAAGTGTATGAAAAACCTACATTTTAAATATAATTAACGAACTAGGTATTATTCAGTCAATCCGATTACTCCTCATATTTCACAATATCCATATATTAGCAAACCCTCTTTTTTGACATTCTATACTCATAGTGTGGTGGCGGTGTTAGTCAAAATTGGTGGACAGTAATCTACGTCGATGTTTATGTCCCCAATATTGGTCATGAGAAAAATGAGAACAAAGGCTTTGCGTAGGCGGATAAAGTTAACATATAGATGATCTGACATTCAAGAAACAGCCACAAAGAGATGCAAGGTTAACTTTCAGTGAGAAACAACCAATCAGAGGACTGTGTTTTTCTGCTTACAATATTGTATAATATGTACATGAAAATCTATAAAAATGTGTTGATTTCCTTAATAAACGATCTGCTGCCTGACCTTTGTCTTCTGTTGTTACAATAGTACACAGACGATAATACCATCATGGATTGATAACAAAGACAACAATAACAAGAAGAAGGTGAACTTACTTCAAATTCAGCTTGAAATCCAGCATCATCATCAGCATGACAAGCGTTGACGTGGTCACGAAAATCTGCGCTTGAAATTGCCTTATGATTAGTTTTACTCAAACGAAATGGTGTCACTCGACGATATTTAGCTGGTACATCTGCTTTACGATAACACGAAGCCCCTGTCAGACACATGACAGTGAAACAATGCACTCGACTACAAAAGAGAGGACAAAAACAAAAATTTAAAAAAAAACAATCCGTCTTAGAATGATGATTGGATTACAAAAATAAAAAATAGTAATAAAATAGTAAAGTTATTTAATAGTAGTAGTAGTAGTAGTAATAACAATAATAATAATACTTACTTGGCAAAACAAGCTGCAATTATGACACAGAAGAAAATCAGCAGTGTAAAGGATACTATTGCACCGATTGTAACATTAAAATCATACTTTCGTGTAGTCTGAAGACGTCGATGTGACGGGGAAGCTAAAGTGCAGAAGAGGAAGAAAAGATTATGAAATTATGATTCCATGTAATCCTTTGACTGTTGTTGTATGAAATCAATAAAAATGCGAATGTATCCGTATATCATCAGTTGGAGTGTGGGGGGGGAGAAACGGCACTTACATAAAAGATCTAAAATTACAATATTGGAGTCATCACTTTGAATTTCACAGTCTTGTTGGTAATCAGCACAATTCATTCTTGGAATACTTGAGCGAACAGTGAAAATTATTCGACCAGATTTTGCTTCATCAAAAATAGAGGAAGATGGAAAAATCGTCTGAAAAAAATAAAAATAGGTATTACATTCAATTAACACAATAATTATTCCTTTGTGTTCTGAAGAGAACGTATGGTGTCAAGCTTTTCGAAATTTGAGGTTTCAGCAACAGTATAGGTTTGCTAGCATTACACTCAACCTTGCCTCTTTACCTGGCTTATTACCGGCTAAGCGAGGTTTAGCCATACGTTGTGGTCAGTGATCGAAGCCTGGACCACTCCACTTAGTTGGTAAATGTTCTACTAGTGCACCACGAAAGCAACACTCTGATTACGACAGAGGAATAATTAGTTGATGAGATAACGCTAACAACACATACATACATTAGTGCATATCAGTTATCAAAATACAGACAACTTGAATCCTAACTGGAAACTGTTTCATTATTTTAAAAAAGCTACCGTATAAACATCTAGAAGCATTGTGCTAATAGAGATCAAAGGGCAAACTAATTCTCAGGGTGAAAACACAAACCATTATGCTAAATATATCCCAATGATGGCGAGCTTGTGGATCGAATTACACTACTAATAATGTATTAAATGTTGCCAACATCAGTAATAACGATGATTATAATGATAACAAAGGTCGCGATGAGGATAACGAAGGTAGTAATATAACTGTATATGTAGACAATTCAATAAATTAATTAGGTCAAAACGTAAAAGTTACGTAATACTAAAGGCATAGTGGACAGATAATTAGAGACTAAACAAATATCATAAAGGTAGGATGGAAATGGAAAGTAAAAAAGGCTGGGAGATTTCTTGAATTAGAATTTACCAAGGCCAAGGGAGAGACATAGGTAAAACAAACTTCTTCTGTTCTATACATATCCAGGATTGTACTCTCAGATTAATTCCCATAGCTTTGCCTCGAATTCCGTTCGAAAGGTTCGATGGAATGCAATAGATAACTTTGAAGGCGCACTTCTGTCCAGTTGTTGGTGACCATTATCAATCAAATGAGACAAAATAGAACTTCTAATGGATTTTACTTGGCCTTTTCCGAACTATGAAGGAAGATGCGTTCGTTGGGCTGTTTAGTTTTTTGCCCTACACATATTTGGAAATGCACATGGAAGTGGCACAGCTAGGCAGTTTACCTTTCGCTTGAACAATCATAATAAGTCTGCTGGAAAATGAAAAACAAGGGTTGGAGGCAGTATAAGTCCGTTTAATGGCTCTAGATAAGCCTCTAGATATAAGCCTTATTGTCATGATTTTTATTATCATTATAATCATCGTTATTACTGATGTTGAAAAGATATAATACATTAATAGCACTGTAATGTGATCCACAAGCTCACTGTCATTCGTTCAATTTTTTATATAGAGAGGTATGTAATTTACAGTAAAGCCTGAAGAATATATGTAATAAGAAACCATATTTTTCGCTAATGTCTTGTTCTAATATTAATAACTGGAATATTTTAAGGTTTAAAATATATGCCATATGATTTAAAATGCCGAAAAAGATTTGTAGTCATTCTCTTCATCGGTGTATAAAGCATGAGCAAGATTGTGATTATTATTATTAATTAATACAAGTTAAATCAAAATATCCAATTCATATCTACTTGAAGTAATAATAAACAATAGCTGTGTAAAGAAGAAACCGAGCCAGCATTACATATGGTGCATGATTTATACTGCTACTCACTAACACAACTACATCCCTTAAGCAACAAAAGACTTCGAGTAAATGCAGAAGCCACTCACACATTAACAGGTGATATCAGAGCCACTGGAAAACCACGGGGTAGTCTACAGCTGTTTTATCTTGGTTTTGGACACTTCAGCAGTACACACCTACCGGAGCTCTGACCCAGGACCTTCCAGTTGTAAGGTGATTTTGTAGATCATTCAGCCATTGGGACCTGGTGCAACGGGGCCCCATGAACTCCAACTTTCGCCAATTCGCGATGCATATAGTGTAACTACCAACTAATGTCATCGGTTAGTAAACGTCCTCTTACTAAACTTGATGGACCTCGCTGGCCACGTGCTAACTAGAGCTCCAAGTAATTTACTGTATCGAGTCAGTAGCTGGGGAGCATCACACTAATTTTTCAGCGTCGGTTTACAAGTTCACACGTAAACTTTAGTATACTGTTCTGGAAAAACCTTACTAATTTTCAAACTCATTCGCGATAGGAGGACACAGTATGGTAGCTTGTTTCAGAGGGTAAACCTCCCCATTTTGGAAAAAAGCATACATTCAGATAGTAAACCAGAAGTCGTCGAAAATGATAGTTTTTTGGAAGGCTACATTAATCTTACTACTGTTATCTTTGTGTGCGATATTGAATAAAGCAAGCGTGTCACACGGCGAACATTCATTGACTGAGGTGTTAGAAACCAAAACATGGCTTCACCAGTCAATGAAATTCACAACAGTTACTTTAAGTCAGTCACGTAGACTTCCAGACTGGTTAGGATCCTCAGAATGGTAAAAACCAATAAAGTCTAGAGAAAAATGGTGAATTGGCTGAAAATCGTTCTCAATGGCTGACACAGATGCATCCACTCCTTGTGATTTATAATGTCCAATAAAGCTCTATTGTTCATCCATATTACTATTCTTGTTGCCTTATATTTCTGTTTATTATCTCTCTTTACTCTATTCTCTTGCTTTGTGTTACATGGAGTGTGGCAACTCGAAATGCTGAACATCTGTGTAAAGTTCTACGTAGGAACCAGTCCATTCCTTAAGGGACCACTTCATTCTCAAAGCCTTTGACTTTATGTCTGGTCCACAAGGCAGTGGTGAAGCGTCAGGAGCCATTCGTTAGCATGGTCTCAGGTGACCAAGACAGGTTCATACACCATTCAATCTATTCCAGAGACAACGTATACCATAGGTTTGGAATCAGAGTTCTCCAGTTACCTTAGGTAGACCACCACGTCAACCATCACGGTTACAAGCGCCACATGTTCGCATTCGCCCTTTCACTTTTGTGAGGAACACCCCCACCGCGTGACGGTAGTGAATAGGATTTACGTGGTAGAGGCTATGAACGCGTGGAATCCCAATGAGAAGCGACAAGTGGCTGGTCCTAGGGTGATATGGAGGAGACAGTGTGAAGAAGAGATGAGAGAGTTTGGTCAATCGTGGGGAACCAGATGAAGGGGACGGCAGAAACAGAACAAAGTGGAGACGTGTTGTCGAAGCCCTATGTTACAGTCGGAATGCCACGGAATAATAATAATAACAATAATAATAATAAAACTTAAGAATAATACTTCCAAGTTAAACAAAATAATGTATCCCCAAATTAATCAAAAAATATTTATTTTGTTTTACTTACCCATTGGAATTTTTCTTGTTCATCACAATAACAGTAGGCTGATTTCATTTTATTTGATGTTTGAGTGGGTAGACACTTTTTTTCAGAAGGAAATGAGTGAAAATACCAGCACACTGAAAATCTTGGTTTTTTTAAAACCAACGAGCATTCGTTTGTACATGTCCAGTTGACCAGAATCTCGTTTGTTTCCAAAAAAGAAGCGCCCACAACAAAAGGTGGTGATGGAGCTAAAAGGTAAATGGTAGTTTATAGCATTATAAAGGTGGTGTATTACCTTTACTCATTAAATGTTAAGTTATTAGACTGAGACAGGAGTGTAGGAAGATATAGTCTTAGGCAAAAAGTACAATTCATTAAAACCACAAACCGTACTTAATTACTTGAAACAACCACTCCCACTTAATCAGTTGGCGATCAGTGTCTGTAAGTATGGTATGTGTTTTGCGCCGTCTGAGTGCAAAGTACTATTACAAGATTGGCAGGAGTCTGTACCTGCACTCACTCTTGCGGGTGAGCCACTTGAAGTTGTTCATAAGTTTGTGTATTTGGGTAGTTGTGTGAGTGCTGGCGGAGGGGTGACGGATGAGCTTTCCAACCGTATAATGAAGGCTAGGGTGGCAGACATCAACTTAAGCCACCTATGGCGCCGCCGCGACGTTAGCCTGGCTGTCAAAGGTCGAGTATACAATGCTTCGGTGCGGGATGCCCTGCTCTACGCCTGTGAAACCTGACCTCTCCGAGCTGAGGATGTGCGGTGACTCTGCGTGTTTGATCATCGCTGTCTTCGCAGGATTGCTTGCGTTTGATGGCATCATCGCCCGGGTAATTCGGCGGTTCGGTGGCGTGTGTTTCAACACAGTGGAGATCACCATTCATTGAGTGTCGTCATCTGGAAACATAGTCTCCGGTGGCTTGGACATGTGCTCCGAATGTCATCCCAAAGGCTTCCGTACAGGTCTCTGTTCGCTAGCCCTGGGACGGGATAGAAAAGGAGGAGAGGTGGTCAGTCTATGACGTGGCGTCGTGGGATGAAGGATTTTTGTGGTAGATTAGCATCGGTTGGTGTGTCACGACTCCCTGGTTGGGGTCCGAGAGATAGCTCAAATCGATGGCTCGAAACGTTATCGGATATGGCCAAGAATCGTAATCAATGGCGAACGTGTTGCAATTTCCTTCTTTCTTCTCTTCCCGATAATAGTTAACGAATACTGTTTGAACTTGTTGAACACGACTGCTTTCCAAGTTTTTATGCGTTTAAATAATAATAAAATAAAATAAATAAACCACTTGTCTATGCACTAAAAGGCTAGTTTAAAATTCTTGTCAAACAAAATGGGTTTCCATAGGATTTCGACAGTTAACTGCTGGATTTCATAGACTTCCACGATGAATCTAATCCATAACAGGAGGTACTGTCAAATTCAACAAAACAAAATTCTGATTGGGCCATTCTATTTTAAAATGTAATTTTTTTCTCAACAACCATTCACAATTCCATCTCAGTTCGCAAAGAGCTAAACCTTTAGTGTGAGAGAGCTACTGATACTACCTGACTGTCTAAACCTCAGTAGGTGAAGTAGGATTGGATGCCGCGATCGAGAATCTGGAAACCGAGCATGTGGACCGCACAACCACAGTTTCCTAAGACTTTAAATAGTGAAGTTAATATTCCTTCAAAAAAATTATTATCATGACAAGTAAGTGGTATATTTAACAGGTATGTTAATGAGTGAGTTGGAAGCAAGAAACTAACCTTTTGATTCTGTTTGAACTTCAATTTCGCTGAAATTGCTGAACCCGGCTTTTGTAGCAGACGCCAAGCGAACAGCATAACATGTGCTGGGATCCAGATTTTCAAATGCAAAGTGTTGAGATGTTGCATTCAGCTGAACAGCTTTCAACCTCTTTGATATCACAGTGTCATTCCCAGGACATGTATGTAGCTGATAAAACCAAAAGATATATAAAACTAACAAATAAGGAGAACACAATTCTTCAGGATAAACAGCTTGTAGTAAAACCTAAGTTCAATTTATTATTAACTGATGATAAAACTCGCAAAATTAACAGTTATGAGGACGAATAAACACAATAATGTAACCGAAATCATACATAAGTGTAATAGTTTGACTACAGCTTTTAGAAGAATAGAATGAGGAATTTAACACAAAGGGGAAAAAATTACGGCAAGTAAAAAGCTATAAATTAATAAAAATGGATGGGCAGTAATCTGAGCTACTGCGACTGACTATATATATATATATATATATATATATGCTAATGTCTAAACATTAAAAATATTCCGAAAGCCATCCCACAGCATCATCTCAGACGACTTGCAACTACAGTTGACTATTGTGCTTACCGTCACCAGAATTTTGAAATTAATCACATCATAATTCAGTGGTCTTGTTAAAATCGGAAACAAATGTGGAAATATCCTTGGTAGGATAATTTTGACTGCTCATTTTTAATATTCATGCATGAGGCAGAATGCTTAATATTCGGTAGGGATTTGGAGAAACAACTAGCATTACAAATAATACAAACTGATACGTCCTGAGCTAGTTCATATTTCACTGAGTATCCTTATTAAAACAGGTTGAAGTAAACACGGGTATATGACATTAGCACCACATAATATTATTCAATTAGGCAGAAGTTTCTCAGAAGTCTATTACAATCTTCGGATGATCAGATGGGGGCTCATTTTCCAATGCATAGCAGCTGGTCCAGCATCATATTAAACCATGTCTGTGTTCTCATCATCTGAAACTGGTTCACAATTAAGTTTAAGCTCCTAGCTGTATATAAAAATCCATGCCGGAAAACTGTATTAATCTACAACAAAAATGGATGTATAGCGACAGTTTTGTTTGCTACCATTCATTGGTTCAAGAAAGATTTTTTTCAAACAATTTATTTTTTAATTTTTTTTTTATTACAGCTTGACTCCACACAGTATTTTTGATATAAGTATGGAATTTTCCTCATGTGATGTCGGTTGCCCAAATTTAGCAGGCCGACCAGGGATATCAGGTATGAGTCGGCCGGGGATCCAACCCGGACCATGTGCATGATCAGCAAGCATCCTAACCGCTGTGCAATTGACGCACACTTTAATGAAAACAGATTTGGAAAGTGCAATAACGTAGGCACAGAAAGATGCCACACAAAATGGAGCATTATGAAAGGAAGAAAATTAGAGAATAACAATGCGGTCGGAAAAAACTTCAGTGTGATTAATAAGTTTTGCTTTTGACACCTAATTGAGGATTTTTCGAGCCACTGATTGTGTCAGAGAGTGGAACGTGAATAAAAATCGAAAGACATCATTCTTTAATTCACCCTACCACACCATTTACTGATCACTCTTACATTTCGTTTAACCAGTCAAAAGTTCAGTCTGTAGAACGGTATACTTAGTACCGTAGACGGTGTTCGAAGATACAACTGATTCGAAATGTCGTACACTCAATTTTACTGTGAGATGAATATCATATCGGAAATGATGGTAACCTGGATTGCTTTGTACACTTTTAGCTTTTGATATACCAGTAGAAATATCAACTAGGACAAGAATGATTTGATAAACTTATATAAATTGAAGAGTTAGTCATATAAAGCAATAAGCATAACTTACCTCTACTTTATAAGCAATTATTTTTCCAACAGTAACAGTTTCATTCTCCCAGCTGATCATCACTGAATTTGATGAACTCTTTGAATTGATTATTTTGGGTTTTTCTGGAATTCCTTCTGTTGTTGAAACGACAAGTGAAGAAGACGGACCCACAAAACGACCATTGTAAATAGCGAAAGATAGATTGTATCGTGTGAATGGATTCAGAGGTGATATGACTAAAACCTAAAATGATCAAGTATTTAGAGTATAGAAGTCTAGACTAACAAATGTACAATTATAGAAACAATTATCAATTTTCCGACGTTCACTACTGACGCAGTATCATAAGGCCGTACTATAATAATTAGAATGCTATGCCAGTCAACTATCAACATAGGGCTTGGGTATCATTTTTCACCGGTTCATGTCACTATATGAGCCACACAAAGTGGCGTAATATGAGTAGCAGGAGACAGGACTGTAGCATAAGACGATATATCGTTTTTAGATATCCTATATACAGGAAGTGGTGCAAGCTAGCAAAATCAAACGAACATTTTACATTTGTGCATAAATTCATACCGCACTAAAAAGTGAATGGGTTAAAACATTTACCTACCTTGCTTTTTATTGTAAAAATCCCGACCTAAAGCTGCTACCTTGACGTGGTGGTCGGGCTTGAACACCGCAATGACCTAATCAAGCTATACTGGCTGAGACTTATGTCTCTTGAGGTTCTACCATGCCAGGCAGGTTGTTTGGATAGCGGTTAAACAAAAAGCAGCTACCCCATCCAATACCATGATTCAAACAAATTCACAAAATTTCATGCCGGATCGGCCGTGGCCCGGATTAACAACGACCGCGCTTCCTGCTGCCGTGTCACAGGGCAGGAGTGATAAGTATGCTACTGAGGCACACCAAACAAAAAAGAAACAAACAAAAACAGGCCGCGTGTGACCGGCCTCAAGCAGTTGTCCCCTGGGCTCTGCGGTCACGCAACCAACTTCCACGGTGTGGGCAGCCGGGAAGTAACAATCGCCCTCACAATCCGAAATGCACACAAAACCTCTCTAATCCTCACTTATCTTTGTCTTCATCTTCATCTCTATTACCTTGCCTTCCTCCCACTGATGCAACTCCTCTACTTGATGGCTCCTCACTCCCTCTTCACTCTGTGTCCACTAAAAACGACGGAAGCCAAAAAACCACCACGATAGTCTCCTAAAGCCACGCCACCAATTTCATATAGGAGCATTTAATGTTAGGACACTTTGCCAAATAGGACAACAAGCATCACTAGCTAAGACCCTGGCATCTCGAGCCATTGATGTATGTTGTGTTTCAGAAACACGCATACAAGACCCAAGTGTGGTTATTCACCTAACCCCACCTGGCCAACAGGATGAATCTTCAAAATTCACCTTGAGGGTGTCAGGAGATGCCACAGCTAGTTCACGAGGATTAGCTGGCGTAGGGATAGCTTGAGTACTAGGGCAGAAAAGACATTGCTTGACTGGATCCCGGTAGATAGCCGAATGTGTGCTGTCCGTCTGAACGGATCAGTAAGAAGGAGAAAGGACTGCACTACTCGCCGATGCCTTTTCGTAATCTCCGCCTACGCCCCCACTGACTGCAGTTCGGATGAAACGAAGGATGAGTTCTACCAAAAGCTGTCTAGTTTGGTGAGAAAGGCTAAACGCTCAGATATAGTCGTTCTAGCTGGTGACTTTAACGCTCAAGTAGGGAAATTGTGTCAATCTGAGAAGGATGTCGGTGGCACCTATGGAGTTCCGTGCCAGCGAACCGACAACGGTGACCGTCTCCTACAGTTCTGTTCAGATAATCATTTGTTTCTTGTAAGCACTAACTTTAAACACAAGGAGAGACACTGTTTAACCTGGCGACCCCCATCATCAAACCAACGCTGGACACAAATAGACCACATAGCAATAAGCTATCGTTGGCGTGGGTCGGTAGGAGATTGTCGCTCCTTCTGGAACACGTGTGTAGATACCGATCACGCACTGGTCCGGGCTCGTGTGTGCTTACGACTGAACGGACGTAGGAAACAGCTGGCGGTAAAACCATCACGTCCCCAGCTCGATCAGGAAACTAAATCCCTATTTGAGGAAGAACTAGCTAAACGCATATCTGAGTTCGACAGCTGTGCTCACCCTGGAGAAGCCTGGAAGAATATTCAGTCAGCCATAGATACAGCTGTAAAAGCTGTGAATAAGGCAAATCCAAAGGTGAGTAAAAACCACTGGATTTCGACTGCCTCATCCGAACTGATAGATGCTAGAAGACTTATTCCGGCGAGCTCCGAATTCAATGAGGAGCGAAAGCTGCACAAAAGGAAACTTACTAAAAGTCTCCGCAAGGACCGTGAACAGTGGTGGGTGACAAAGGCGAAAGAGATGGAAAAAGCATCGGCGATAGGCAACACTAGGCAACTCTTTAGACTCATCAGGAAACGGGTGGGAGAAGGCAAATCATAAGTGAGACTATTTCTGAGAAAAATGGCTCCTTAATTAGCTCTCAGGATAGACGCCTTGAACGCTGGAAAGAACACTTTGAGGACAATTTAACTTGCCTACAGCCACACTGAACCTCCCCGACATCCACACACACCCGAATGGGATATAGACACTGGTCCGCCGTCTGTAGTGAGGTCACAAAAGCTATCAGTAATTTGAAACGAGGCAAAGCGGCAGGACCCGACGGAATTATTCCGGAGGTGTTTAAATATGGGGGTGACATACTAGTTTGTAGATTAACTGAGGTACTAGGCAAAGTCTGGGAATCAGAGACAGTGCCATCAGACTGGGGTAAGTCACTTATTATACCGATATTCAAGAAGGGAAACAAGTCCTCGTGTGATAATCATAGGGGGATCAGCCTAACGAACATAGTCTCTAAAATCCTAGGCTCAGTAATCATGCATAGACTAAGCAGAACTCGGGAGGAACAGACAAGGGAAAATCAAGCAGGCTTTAGACCAGGTAGAGGGTGCATAGATCATATCTTCACTCTTCGACAGATTCTAGAACATAGACACACTTTTCGGCGTCCAACAATTGTCATATTTCTTGACTTGAAGGCGGCCTTCGACTCCGTGGATCGAAAGGTACTATGGCAATGTCTGACTGTGAAGGGAGTGCCAAGAAAGTACATTGCACTAATCAAGGCACTCTATTCAAACTCACGTAGTCGTGTAAGGGCTTATGGGGAATTGTCATCTGAATTGGTAACAACCAGTGGTGTCCGACAGGGATGTCCACTTTCCCCATTTCTGTTTAACTTCATCATAGATATGCTGATGGAAGTATCCTTAACTGAACGTAATGACTTAGGAATCGACTTGTTACCAGGGAATAGTCTTATGGACTTAGAATATGCAGATGACATAGTCCTGTTAGGGGAGGATGCTGACAAAATGCAGAGTCTTCTGAACACCTTGAGCAGCAATCTTCGTATGTTTGGCATGCGATTCGCCCCTACAAAATGTAAGATGCTGCTACAGGACTGGACACGTCAACCCTAACTTAGTGATAGGGAGTGAAGTGATAGAACATGTTGACCACTTCACCTATTTGGGAAGTTGTATTAGCACCAACGGACTGATTGGCGATGAAATCTCAGCACGGATCCGAAAAGCTCGAGCTGCTTTCGCTGACTTACACCATCTCTGGCGTAGGCGTGACATCCGGTTATCAACCAAGGGACGTGTGTACTGCTCATCAGTTCGCTCCGTCCTTCTCTATGGCTCTGAAACATGGCCAATACGCGTTGAAGACATGAAAAGGTTGACTGCTTTCGATCATAGATGTCTGCGATCTCTGTCTCACGTTAGGTGGTTTAACAAGGTAAGTAATGTTGACGTTAGGCGTAGAGTGTTGGGCAAAGAGGGAAAATCAATCGACGAGGCTATAAAGTTACATAGACTAAGATGGCTAGGTCACGTGCTGCGCATGCCTAACCACCGCCTCCCCCGACGGGCATACTAGCTGATATAGGTGCAGGTTGGAAAAGAGCCAGTGGTGGCCAAACAAAAACATGGCATCAATCCATGAAATCCTTGACAGTTAAACTGAGTCAGGTAGGGAGATGCAGAACTCCGGGTTGGGGCCCTCGGGACTCTAGGAATCAATGGCTGGAGACAATAGGTGACATGGCTCAAAATCGTTGTCAATGGCGCAGATGTATTCAGTCTCTGTAATCTTTCATATTCCTTTCTACCATTACCCATTCTGTTTCACTCTTATACTTGTCAGACTGTTGATTCTCTTCACTCATATTCTTGTCTACCTCTGTGTGGTATTTGGAACGTGGCAACTTGAACTGCTGCACTTCGGCGCCAAGCTCTATGTTGAATCCAGATAGATAGATATCGTAAAAATACACCATCTCACAAAGAGGGACAAGTCCCACACATTCCTACATTAATTTTTATGTTCAGGAAATAGGTTGTCAGTTTCTTCGTCTAACACGATCATATAGTTCCCACCTAGATAATGTAACCCCAAGAGTTGAGATTGGTTTCACTATACCAAGGGGTTACGGAGAGAGTCGTGGTGGTTAAGTATCTGAAGTTTCGTCGAATTTGCTCTCATTCACCAATAATAATAATAGTACTGCTACAGATTGTCTGTCTGTCTGTCTGTTTTCGACATAGAACATTGCACAAATGTGCGGAAGTTCAAGTCGCCACATTCCGTGTAGCACGCGAAGCAAGAGAAGAAAGTACAAGAAAAGCATAATAGAAACAGTGAGCAAAGGTGTGAGACAAAGGAGTAATAAAGAAATACAAAACAGTTTCATTGAAGATCATAAGTCACAGGGAGTGGATGCATCTGCGCCACTGAGAACGGTTTTGAGCCATGTCACCAATTGTTTCCAACCATAGATTTTTACCGTCCCGAGGACCCCAACAAGTCAGGAAGTCTACACCTTCCTACGTGGCTTAGACCAACTGTTGTGGATTTCATTGACTGGTGTCAAGGTTTTGTTTGACCGCCGCTAGCTTTTTTCCAGCCTGACCCTATATCCGCTAACATTGCTCGTCGAGGGAGGCGATGGCTTGGCATACGTAACACATGTCCTAACCATCTCAGTCTTTGTAGCTTCACGACTTCGTCGATTGATTTCCCCTGTTTACCTAGAACTCTACGCCTAACCTCCATGTTGCTCACCTTATTATGCCACTTTACACGGGAAATAGAACGCAGGCACCTATGATCAAAGACAGCTAGTCTTTTCATGTCTTCCACTCTCAGTGGCCAGGTCTCACAACCATAAAGGAGGACGGAACGGACTGGTGAGCAGTACACCCGCCCTTTGGTCGATAGTCGAACATCTCGTCTACGCCAGAGTTGGCGTAAACTAACAAATGCGAAACGAGCCCCTTGTATTCGTGCTGAGATTTCGTCAGAGATCAGCCCGTTGGGGCTGATGGTACTTCCCAAATAAGTGAAGCGGTCAACGTGCTCTACCACTTCACTTCCTATTTTTAAACTAGGCGTCGATGTAGTCCAGTCCTGTAACATCATCTTGCATTTCACGGCGGGAGCGAATCGCATGCCAAACATTCGTAGATTGCTGCTCAAGGTGTTTAGAAGACTCTGCATTTCGTCAGCATCTTCGCCTAGAAGGACTATATCGTCTGCTACAGATTAATTCATCGCTGGGTGAAACATAACGTTTGATGAGCAACTGAACATATTAACGAAACTATAAGTGACATAAATTAGAGAAAGTTAGCAATTTTCTTCACGTACGTGTTGCGACTTTGATAGTCCCTAATTATCAAAGGATGGAGCTAACTGGCTGACCCTTAGACACAGAACTCTGAACAAACGCGCATCAGTTTAAGATGCCACACGTTATGAGAACACAAATGAAAACGGAGTGAAAAGTCTAGTGAAACATCAGCGAACGAAGGTGTGAAGGGAGAATCATTAAATGTAGTTCAACTAACAACGGCAAAGCTCTCTAAAATCCAAAAGATGACAAGCAGTGAACTGATTTCGTTATATAGCCAAGAGTCTTCAACCTCTGGATCTTAACAACCAGGATAGGATCAAGAATTAATGACTAAATGGGTTGTCGCGATTTCTTGATTTGACCATCTCTATCCTTCCCAAACTAGTCCAACATCGCTCGTTAATGATATAAGTATATAACTTGGGCACTGTGGTAGAGTATAACTCCATTATGGATAAGATTTTATTTTGATAAATCACACAGTTCATGGATAATTCCCATCCAGGCATTAATGAAAACGAAACACGTAGATCAGCGAAGAGTCTCTTTTCGGCGAATTCATTTTCTTAGCTGTACAATCGCAAATATATATGCATTGTTTTGTATGTATGTGTACATTAAGTTTGTCAAACAAAGTTACAATTGGTTAAGGTTACTTTTAACTAAACAAGTGAAGGTTGGTAATACAGGTCAAGAAACTACGGTAGTAACAAAGGTGATGAGTTGTCACAAACAGTTGTTAAAAGAAGTAATGCAATAATAATATGAATAGTTTGATGAGTGAGTTTTACTCAGGATGCACATAGAAACAAAGTAGATAATACGAAACTATGTAAGAGATTTAAGTGAATACAAGAATTATAAGCAATTAAGGAACAGGCAAAGAAACAAAATTAAGTCATCAACATAAAAATAAAAACTCAAAACAAATCAAAACATTGTTACCATGAGAGTAGAAGTGGTTGAGTAATCTTCTTTTGTATGTACAGCTCCGGTTTTTCCATGTGAATGGCCAGAGCTTCAGCGATGCAAAGGAGACGAAACCGTATTGCCTTTGATATGTTATTCTTGACTCTGTAGATTACTTTGAAGGAGTCGTTCGTTGAAATGCAATGATCAGTGTTGACCAGGTGTTCAATTATCGCACTCCTTATTGCACCAGTATTGCCTTTTCGCAACCATAGTGTTCTTGAATTCTCTTGGACAGGATGCGCGTCGAACGACCGATGTACCTGGCTCCACAGCAGCAGGTGAACTGGTATATGCACATAGAAGTGGCCAGATGCGGGATCTTGTCCTTGAGGCTTCTGCAGATCAGTGGGCGACTGGAGAACACTATTCTTAGCGTTGCTGCAAAGAACGTTCTTCTCAGAGATGATGTGATCCTTCTCTTGAGAATATCGCCCGCTAAATCTCCCTTGAAATCCAAGTTCATGTAGATTTTCTTTTTAGGCGCAGTTAAAGTTTCGTTTTTCCGAATTATTGGTTTCATATTTTTGTCGATATATCTTATTGGGTATCCATTTTGGATGAAAATCTCTCTCAGAATATCTAATTCTGTTTCCAGAACGTCGGGACTACAGATGCGTCGGATGCGGGTAGCAAGTGATTTAATTAAATTTCGCTTTTGTTGAATGGGCACCCAGCTATAGAAGCTTGTTAGTTGACCATTCCACGTAGGTTTTCTATGGATTGATCTTCTTAGGCTCCCATCAGCTCTTCTTGTCAGTTCCACATCAAGAAACGGAATTTTTGACTCGTTTTCCATTTCAAGAGTGAATTTCATTGCTGGATGGCAATTGTTAAGTGTCTTCAGCAGCAGATTGGGGTCGTTGTTGTTGTCACAAATAATGAAAATGTCATCCACGTATCTTTTATACAGTCGCAAATGTCGATGCTTGGCTTTAGTGAACCTCTCTCGAGGCTTGCCACGAAGCAATCTGATAGTAGTGGACCCAACGGAGATCCCATTGCAATACCATCCTTTTGTCTGTAGATGGTGTCGTTGAATGTGAACTGGACGTTCAGAGTGCATCTCAATAATAGTTCTTTCAAGTATGTTGTCGGTATTCCAATATCGAGGTGGTTTTCATCTATATATCTGCATATGAAGCAGACCGTTTCTGTGAGTGGGACATTGGTGAAAAGTGACTCGATGTCGAAGGACAGCATAATTTTGTTAGATACATTCGTGTCTTGTATGCACTCGATGAACTGGAAGGTGTCACGGAGCGAGTACGTACATAATTGCTTCCTTACAGGTTCCAGAATATCTGCTAGCCATTGTGCAATAGAGTGGTAAGGGGAACCTGACATATCCAGAATTGGACGAAGTGGGAGACCAACCTTGTGTACCTTTGGTAGACCATAAATTCTTGGTATTATTAAACCTGTTGGCCGGATCTGATCGTAGATATCCCCACTGATTAGTTGACTGGCCTTCATTCCCTTCAAGACGTCTGTGAGCTGCTTCTCAATCTGTTCCGTCTTGTTTCTTTCATTGGAAGGTTGGGAAAATTTGTCTTCATTCGACAGTATATCCTTCATTTTCTCGATGTAGTCTCTTCGATTCAGAAGCACTACACCACCCTTTTCGGGTCGAGTTATAAGCAGATCTTTGTTATCTCTCAACTGTTTTAATTCCTCTCGGTGCCGCTTCGTTAGGTGGTTGCGGACTTATGATTTTGAATTCAGGTATTGGTGGTAGCAGTCCATGATTGTTGACTTGAATCTCTGCAATTCGTCTTCAGAAGTTGGGCTGAGATCGTTCGTTTGGCTGATTAGATTTTCAAACTGGACCTGATTTGCGATTGTACAGCTAAGAAAATGAATTCGCCGAAAAGAGACTCTTCGCTGATCTACGTGTTTTGTTTTCATTAAATCACTCAGTGTTGTACAGTAGTATTAACACGGTAATTAACAGTAATATTATGACTATAAAACACTCGTCGTACTTCCGATTTAATTGTAATTAATCAATGACACTCGTATTATTATTTCTGAATGGCCATTATCTCACATTGATTTTTAATCCAATATCTAATCGACTCCACACATGTACATAAATGAAAGGAAAAAGTTGTGTAACTTGCTATGATTATGAGCGATAGTTCGTGCTCGAAACGTCATCAGTTAATATTACTGTACAACACTGTGTGATTTAACAAAATAAAATCTTATCCATAATGGAGTTATCGCTTGTTTAGACAGTAGCTTAGAATGCGTAAAACGCATCCCAGACACCGCTGAGTAAGAGTAAATTTTTAGATGGGCATCCACACAGCATAGTCGAGGAATGCTTGAAGTGCTCACGAGTACAACAAAAGGAGTATGAAATTTAAGAGCTATCAATGCCGAAAACAGTGAGATTACATAAAACATTTCATTGTAACGGCATTATTACAAAATAGTAATCCTGAAAAAAGCAACTTTACCTGTGGATAAGATGTAGATGCATGATGCTGCCCCTTTGAAATAAGTTTATAGGGCTGCATAGTGGCAACTGTGACAACATAGGCTGTTAAAGGACCAAGAAGAGACGTTGCGAATCGAGTATCCTGGTTTGAACATCTTTTGGCATTATCCGGTTTCACTCCTTTAAGATTTGTGTTTTCAACGCCTATGAAAATGGAATGACTCGACACATTGATCACATGGACTGTTGGGTGTGCAACAGGCAAACCAGGAAGAGTTAATAAATGTTCGGGATTACTGAAGTCACTCCAGCCAACATCGTTCAAAGCACGGACAAACAAAGTATAGCAAGTATATGGTTTTAAATTATGAAGTGTTGTACCAGATAGTGGAAACGAAACGTTCTTCTGTAACACCAAACCATTCCTTCAATGAAAAAGATAACACAATAGAGTGAAGTCAGTTTCAGACAATTTCGCAGATGTAACAATATCACTGGAAACCACGAGCGTTTGTATCCTAGATATACTATAACTACTATCACTGAGTTTACTTGCTTATCTAATAATACCAAGTTACACAGTTACCCTGATTCTTTGGAAGGATGTATAGTCTAACTGAAGTGTCCTCCGCTTAGCAACGGGTGGACGTGTAAGTAAACTGTTTTGAATACTTAGGAGTGAAACTGAGGGGTAATGCAAGCCTTAGCAAAATATCTGAACTGATAGGAAGGGGATAGAATACGTAAGTGCTGCTTATAATGTACTCATTATCATGGTAATATTTTCTTACATTCTTTTAATATTCACCAGTTTTTCAGAGATTGTTACGAAAACTAATCCAGAGCACAGATATCGTTCTCACAACCAAACAATAACCGAAATTTTAGTGGTGATAGACCAGAACGAATACCATGGAAGATAATATGCATTTATGAAATATCGCGGAAATTCGCACCAATTAAATCAAAAAAACCGTTTTTTACTACTGACTCAACATGAAATGACAGTAAACAACATGGTAGTTAGTGCAACTCTAATTACTGCTACACTTCAGACTAACCAGCATGAAGAGCTTAAGAATAGTTGATAAATAACATAGCAAGAGAACCTAACTCTGAGTTTATGGGTAGTTTACTAACACTCTCATGGGATGAAGCACAAAAACTACAGGCTAATATTTCTTCATTCCTCAAGTTAATTAGGAAGAAAATAGTCAAAATCATCACGTAATACCTAAGAAAATTAGAAATCACGGTACGCAACGGCAAAAATACTTACTCATCGTGGAGGTAAACAGAATGGAGTGAGATAGGACTGTTTTGATTGGCTCCAGCAGTCCAAGAAACATTTAATGAACTTTCCGATAACGCCTGTGCATGTATTGAAATGGGGTGAGATGGTTTACCTTAAATTAATGGGATTATTTAAAAGTAGTGAGGTAAAATTTCCTACCTTGTATCAGAACAAAAGTCGACTGATGAAATACCATGTCTTTATTACGGTATAGCTGGCAGTAGTATTCACCGGACTGTGCAACTGTGACATTCATTAGCATTAAAGTTGGTTTAGAAGTAGTTTTATTGAGCGGATCCCGCCAAATCACAAGTGTAGGCTCTAAGTGCAAGTCTTCCCCGCATTTCAAATGGATGTCTGCACCAGCATGGAACTGATAAGTGACGTTTTCTCTTTGTGGTAATGAGGACTGAAGTGACAACTGCAACGGCCAAAAGTTTATACACAATATTATCAGTGAGAGCAACAGTCTTAATGGGCTTATATTTTGCAGCATAGGGAGGTTTATAATCCAATGTTGTCACCTATCATTACGCCCAGAATCCAGCAAGATGCATGAAACCAGCATTGGTTTGAGTCTTTAAAGGTCAACTTGAAGAGGTCACAAGTTCTCAATGTGTCCAATGGAGTCATACAACCCAATGGATGATATCAATTATTTAAAAACGTTCAGATAGTTGAGTCTCACATAATCCATTTTCTTTTAATAAAACCTGTTGTTTCATTCGAAAATTAGGGTGACTCTAAAGAATAGCGGCCCAAACCGAAACGACCTTCGAACAAAAAAGTGACCTTGAGGAAGGAATCATTTTCGGATGTAATCATGGATGTTTTCGATTACTTTTTGGATAACGGACTGATAGCTTTGTCGAAAATTTGCCAATGCGGAGGAGTTATGCATATACAAAAATAGACAGAAGCCATTGATGGCTTTGTATACAGATGTATTGAGTGCCGAAGGAAGAAATCGGTTCGAGAAGGTTTGTCGTTGTTTTTTAGTTTACAGATCCCTTAGAAACTTTTCTCTCAAGTTCTAAACTACCTTTGACGAAAATTTTAATGATCTGTAACTTCTGGGTCCTGAAAAGAGCAGTCACAGCTACAGATTATGAAACAGAAAATTCAGGGGTGTCAGCAGTGCAATGGTACAACTACTGCAGAGATGTTTCCTCCTGGAAAATGAACACTCTGACTCAAGTTCTCGGAGGAGTCGGCAGCATAGTCCATATCGATGAGACTGTACTTATAAAAAGGAAATACAACCGTGGGAGATTACAAGCAAACCAGTAGTGGATACTGGGTATCTACGACACGACACTGCGCAAAGGGTATATAGAAGCGATTCCCAATCGCAGCGCAGCAGTATTAGTGCCTATTATTAAGCGTTTGGTGTTGCCGGGGACGACTTTTCATACAGATGAATGGAGCGGATACCGTCAATTATCGAATCATGAGTACATTCATCATGTTGTTAATCATACGGACGGTTTCCGGAATCCTTTAGATGGAACCCACACCAGTTCCATTGAAAGTTTTAGGAGTCGTCTAAAAAGACGTATAAGAGCGGTTAATGGATCGAGAAATCCCATGATTTACAGTTACCTGGATGAATTTATGTACCGAAACTGGTTTCATACGACTATGAAGACTCCCATGAGAAACTGGGAGGTTTTTTTGAGACATATACGCGAGCGCCATCCTTTGTAACTGTTTATTATGATTGCATTACTTATATATAAACCGTTTTTTACAATTATGCGCCTTCCTTTTTGAGCCTTCTCATTGGCCGAAGTTGTCCCTGTCAAGGTCATTTTTGCGTTGAAAGGTCGTTTCGGTTTTGGCCGCTATTCTTTAGAGTCACCAAAATTAGTTCATTGTAAGTTATAGCTCATCCACTCATTATCTATGTTGCAAGTTAATATGATGATTAAGCTGTTGTATATTTGAATAGTTTCACGTGAGTGGTAATCTACAGTTGTAACGATATTTAATCTCAAGCATTTCGCACTTACCCGTGTTACTTGTGAAAATATGGCGAAGCTATCTTATGATATGACATTCTATTATGGCAAATTGGGTTATTCATGCATCTTTGTTTGACATCAACTTTACGGCTGGACGTATCCGGCACACTGGTTGAAACTTCACTTCATAAATTCTTTTGTGAACAGTTTTTAATGAAATACTGTTACACTTTTTCTTCTGTGAAGCTGCAGTTTTTGGCCGAGTATCATTCAATGAAGATCTCACATCTCGGGATAGCATTGCAGCCTATTTTTGTGTGAAGAAAAGTACTATTTGACAAGTGAATGCTATCAGTAGACTGATTCCAACTGCGAAGGCTAACAGAACCTTCTATGAAAAATGAGGTCATGGTGTAAATGCATTCTTCACTGTATGTGTTTGAACAGGAACTATCGTAAGTTGAAAGGTCATCTCTAAGTGATCGTGCCTGCAAAAATGGTATGCATTTTCATGTAAATTTATGTTTATATGAAAATATACATTATTATTATTACAGTTGCACCGATTGGCGCAGTGTCATATGGGTTATGAGGATTAAATGCATAAAAAATATCTCTACTTTATCAGTGTTATACCACTGTCCGCATAGCTGACTGCTAGGCTAACAGATCTAGGTGTTTCTCATGACTGTTGCAAGTGCAGTGAGGTTGAGGTAACTACTCATTTAATATTCCTCACCTAATGCATCAGTTCATTATGTGGTATTGTAATGCACATGAATTTTGATCATTATGAGAACTTGACCTAGTAAGCTCTATCGTTGTCAGTCTATTGTCTGTAATGTCATATCTAGTGAAACTGTGTACTTACCGTCTACGCTTCAGTGTTCTATTTCACCAATAGTTGAGATGAATTTGTTCTGAAATTTCCGTTTACATGAGGCAGTACGGATGTGATATCACTTATCAATGTCTGGGCTGTATTAGGTGGCACTGTCATCCTCACTAACACAATACATCTGTGTGACTTCTATTTTAAGGGTTTCTCTATCCTGTTAACCCTGTGCAATGATGTTTCCGTAAGATTTCCAAACCGTGTTCACTAGATATTACTGAGATTATAGACCAATTTCCAAGAGACGTAACTGCAACATTTCTTTTAAAGTAAGGGTAATTGGTGTGAAGTTACTCTGCAGGTAATCTTGCTGAGAGAACAAAGCCGAAAATGTGCGGAGTTTGTCCTGAAATTTGTATATGGACTTTTTATTACTGGAAAACATATGGGGTCCGTTTATACAGATGGCGTCAATATAAAAGTCAGCTATGGACTTTAAATATTTTTATTTTGCCTGAGAATTTTACCTAGTATTAATAGAATCAGTATGTCCACTCTGTATGCTTATATGTAACATTAGCTTTATAACTTCATGCTGCGTTATTCCCTACATACAACTCATAATTTTAGGTACATGGAGGTTGTCGAGTATGAAACCAGCTAAAATACCAGCCGGTCAAACTAACGCTAATACCCTTCAGCAGAATTTCTTTCATAAATTGATGAGATGTCTAATACACTCACGATCAGCACTTATTCGGAACTTTTACAGAACTCATCACACAGCGTATCAGTCATAAATGTACATGACATGTAGGCATGATTTTTATAAGACAGGTATGTAAATCAATGTAAGCTCCTGTACTGTACATTCATTACCAATAAGACTACCTAGTAACGTGGGTGAGCACTACGATTTGACCAGTTATACAAAGTCTGATGTATTGAGAGAAAAATCGACGTGAGCTGCTTAGTTCTACGACGCATTACTTAAAGCTACGTAGCCACTTTGAAATAGTCTCGGCAGAAGGTCATCTCCTAGGCCTCTATCTTACTGAGTCACTTTGAATTAAAAAGTAAGAGCGGACATCCTGAGAACTTTCTTGGCAAAAAGATTGTCTTCTAGCCAAATGAAGTAAATATATCCAAATATCCATGGAAGAGGCATTTATTCTATCGCCACAATACCCAAACTGATTCATTATTCTCAGTCATAAACTAGCTTTCCGTATTCACTAATCTCTGACCACCTATAAGTGGCCTTGTGCAGTGTTCAACCCTATGTTTTTTCGTGAGTCCTTCTTATAACCCCACATAAGCCTCGAAACTAAGATTAAATGTATGCAATGTCACCGACTTTTCTAGTTTCATAATGGCACTCGACTTTTGACCTCTCCCTTACATGGCCAGCACATATTCCTTGAATCATCTCCTTCAAAGTGTTCGACAATTTATCTTCACCTAATCCATCCCGTAACCATGGGTTCTGTCACTAAACGTGGTCTCTCGACGCCTCACCCGCCAAGGAATAACGAAGGTCTACTAAAGTTCACCGCTTATTATTATTATTGCTCCCTTGGGTTCCTAGTGGAACATAGGGCTTCAACTGCACGTCTCCATTCGCTTCTGTCTTCTGCTGTACTTTTCGCCTATATCCATGTTAGCCCATATTCTTTCAACTCCTCTTCACACGATCTCCTCCATGTCACCCTTGCACTGACGTCCCACACTCCGCTTCCCTTTCGGGTTCCACTCGAGGGCTTGACGCGCGATGTGACCCAGTGGTCTCCTCAGCGAGTGTCCGATCCATCTCCACCTTCTCCTGCATATTTGTTGAGCGACTGGTTCTTGCTTTCTTTGTTCCCATAATTCCTTGTTGGTGATTCTTTCCGGCCCGGTCATCTGATCTTCAGTAGAGAGCGAAGACAGTTGTTAATAAAGGTCTGCAACAGGCTGTTGGAAATATTCTTTGTGACCCGCCCGCCACGTTTCTGATCCGTATAGAAGAACTGACTGACTTGACGTTTGTATTGAAAATCCGACGGGATTTTGTTGTTGATGCTGGCTGAGTGACGACGATTTCCAGATTGATTTCAGGTTGAGGAATGTGTTTCTCGCCTTCCCGATTCTCGCTTGATTTGATATCCTCGTCCGTTCCTCCCGTAGTTGAGACAACGCTCCCTAGATAAGTGAATGAAGTAAACTCGTTCAAATCCCTTCCGTTGATAGTGATTGACACTGGATGTTGCTGTTGTTGTTGTTGGGTGGTTATTTTCATAACTTCCGTGTGCCTGTATTCACTTGCAGTCCCGTCTTCGCCGGATCCTTCTTCGACCAATTTGTCCACTTTGGCTTGTTAGTCTTCGATCGTGTGTAATATAAATCATCGGGGAAATCCAGGTCTTCTAGGTTCTTCGCCTCGGTCGGTCCAGAATATTCCTGTCCTCTCGTTTCCCTCTGTCTGACGCATAATCCAGTCAGTCGACCACAATTAGGAATATCATTGGTGATAATAAGCACCCTTGTCTGACTCCAGTGTTTACACCAAACGTCTCGCTGAGTTTTCCGCTGTGGATCACCTGACATGTGCCGTTGTCGTACAGCTGTTGAATAAGGTTGATGAATATTTGGGGTACGTCATAGTACTCGAGTAATTTCCAAATTACTTCACGGTCAACGCTGTCGAAGACCTTCCCGAAGTCTATAAAGTTGAGGTGGAGGTTTGATCGCCATTCCATGCTTTGTTCTGTGGTGATGATGCGTAGAGTTGCAGTTTGGTCAGTACATGATTTGCCCTTCCTGAATCGAGCTTGTTCTGGTCGGAGTTCTGTCTCCAGTGCGTCCTTTAATCTCTCCAGGATGATGCGACTCAGGATTTTACTTGGCGTCTACAGGAGCATGATTCCTTGCCAGTTCTTGCAGAGTGGGGCGTAAGTCGCCCATCTTTGCTAGTTTCACGAGGTAACCTTTCCTCCAGTCAGTAGGCACCTTTCTCTCC